TGGTGGCCTCGGTAGGGCGTGAAGGGCGGAGCGAAACGCCCCCCTTCCCATGAGGTTTTAGTCGCCCCCACACTCCCGGCTCATACCTGCTGTCCACAAGGCTCCCATGTGGCCGCCATCTTTCTTTCCAGAGAGGAGAGGGCGAATGGGGCAACACCCTTTCCCCTCCGGCAGACTTGATGGGCTGGATCAACGCATAGTCCGTTCACTTTTCTGCTCCAAGCTGCTGGGTTCTGCATTAAGTCCTTGTGCTTCTGGGGCCATGGCCGTGCTGGAGAGCCGCTCGCGGGGGGCGACTTGTGACCTCGGTAGGGCGTGAAGGACGGACCGGAACGCCCCCCGACCCATGAGGTTTTAGTCGCCCCCACTCCCCCGGCTCATACCTGCTGTCCACAAGGCTCCCATGTGGCCGCCATCTTTCTTTCCAGAGAGGAGAGGGCGAATGGGGCAACACCCTTTCCCCTCCGGCAGACTTGATGGCCTGGGTCAACGCATAGTCCGTTCACTTTTCTGCTCCAAGCTGCTGGGACTATTATTATTATTGACTTGGAATAATACATGATGGTGCTCAAGTGCCCTGGAGGTATCAGAGATCAAATTAGGGGCTCCCAGATGCAAAGCCATACTCCTGGCTCTGTGCTCAGTGCTCAGTGATCACCCCTGGTGAAGCTCAGGGGAACTCAGTTCAGTTGCGTGCAAAGCATGGCCTTATCCATTGTATTATCTCTCTGGTCCTGTCACATGCGCTTTGGTGTAATATCTGAGAATCTACTGTCTCACACAATGTCAAGACGATGAACACAGATCTCTCTCTCTCTCTCTCTCTCTCTCTGCAGATATCTGATCTCGCTCTTTCTCGCGTCAATATGCAAATGTCTCAACATCATCTCACCCGTGGCTGGGAAGACCACCGCTGGAACAGCGGACTGTGGCTGCAGCCTTGTGCAAGCCAACACTGTGAAGGTTTGTTCTCAGTCCGAGTCCATCGAGCTGCAGTCCATCCTCTGGGCAAGCCAACACTGTGAAGGTTTGTTCTCAGTCCGAGTCCATCGAGCTGCAGTCCATCCTCTGGGCAGTTAACCCCCGGGAAGAACGGACGCCCTCACCCGTCCTCCCAGCTCACGCCCTTTGCCCTTTGGGAGGTGGAGACTCCTAATCATACACCTTTTCCTTTCCTATCCGGGGAACCTAGAACCTCTGGCAGAAAAATCGAGAAGCCTGAAAGGGAGCGCGTGGCTTAGGCAACCAACACGTTACTGACATGCAAAGAACATGTTAACAGGATGCAAATACATCAGCACCAGGGGCGCGGCGGGCCCCGCCCCGCCTCGATCTCCAGGCTGCAAAACCCCGGGAGGCCTGCCCCCGCGTTAGCCCCGCCCCTCCCCGCCCCTCCCCGCCCCTCCCCGCCCAGTCGCCTTCGTCCCGCCCTCAACCCCGCCCAGTCGCCTGTGATCGCCCCGCCCTGTCGCTTTGGCCCCGCCCCTCACCCCGCCTCGTCGCGTTGGCTCCGCCCCGCTCCTCGCCTTGCGCCCCCGCGTCCTGCCGCCTCCTCCCGCCCCCTCCAGGAAGCCGCGCGCGGCGGGAGTGGAGCCGCCCGGCTGCTTGGCGGTGCGCGCCGGTGAGCGGGGGGGAGGGGGGCCCCCTCCCTGGCCCCCCACTGCCTCCTAGGCGTCCTCGCGCCGGGCTCTCGGTCAGCGCCCTGCTGTGGCCCACCTGGCTCCCTTCCAGCCTATGATGGGCTCAGGGGTGAGGCTCCAAAAAGAGTCTTACTGTGCTCCTACCTTCAGGGTGGGGGCTCGCCGGGCCGGCGAGGTTCTCCTGAGCGCCCCTCGGCCTTGTACGGCCCCAGGAGATGGGAGTGGGGGGGCCAGAAGCCGCAGACTGAAACCAGACTGGAGCCCAGCAGCTGGGCAGGTGTTGGAGGTTTCCAGAGGCAGGGGTCTGGCCGTGTCTGCGGGGGATCTCCGGGCTCCCCTCTCCTGCCTGGCTGCAGGGTTCAGGGCGGGATGTCCAGGGGCTAAGTCCTGTCCCTCCTTCACCTCTGGGGCTGGAGGTTATGGTCCCTCTCACCTTGAAAGAGGGGGTGCAGGCAGCCCCTGGGCTGGCCAGCCTGGAAGGGCCAGGGAAGGGTTTTGCAGGACAAGCCTTGACGTGTGAACTTTGACCCTGCCCACAAACCCAGCCCTGAGCCCTGGCACCCAGCGATGGCTCCACTCTGGGCTGAGGCGTCCCTGATGGCTAAGGTTGGCAGCCCCCCCTGCCAAAAATGACCCTTCTCAGGAAGTGAGGGTACTGTGCTCCCAGCCGCCAAAGGTGCACCCCGAAGACCCGACACCGTGGTTTCGGCCTGACCTTCCGGGCTCCTGCTCTCCCCCACTCTGGCCTTCCGGAATGGACTTGCGTGCCAGGAAGCTGGGCCGCCTGGAGTCTGGGGCTTGCGTGCCCCTCGCCCCCTGGGAAACACAGGTGGGTCTGGTTACTCTGAGCTCTGCCTGAGGCTGGCTCCTGGGGGAAGGAATTGGTCCCTTCTTGGAGTGTTGGAGGCGGGGAGGGGGAGAGATGAAAAAGCAAATTATGGCTTAGATGGGGGGGGATGATGAGAGAGAGAATCGGAAGCCTGGGATGCCACCTAACCCCTGTGGGGTCACTGCCAAGGAGGCCTGTCCGCCTTCTCTCTGGTGATGGATTCTGGAACCTCTGCAGCTAGGGGGCAGAGGCTTTTGGGGGAGCCAAGTATGCGTGAGGCCAGGAGAGTGTCCCAGGGCACTGGGGAGCCCCTGGGATCTGAGGGGCAAAGGATTCCTGGCTTCTGACTGGTCATCGGGAGGCCTGGAGGCAGGAGGGACCTTGAAGGACCAGCCCAGGGCAAGGGAAGGTCAGACCCTCAGACCCCCTCAGGAGGTGATGCTGGAGAAGGGCTGAGATCTCTCCAGGGGCAGGGCAGGGCGAGGGGGCCCCCTGGGTAGGTCCCCCACATATCAGCTCTGGGATCTCACCTCCTCCCCTTGGGGGTTGGAGCCGTGGAGGAAAAATGGGCAGGTGGACAAGGTAGACAGCCAGAGTAAGAAGGTACATTGGGGGAGCAAAGAGGGTCTGACCTGAGGGTTCACCCCAAGATCAGACGCTGCTGGTGGTTGTTCCTTTGGAGGGACCGTCACCCTGGAAGGGGCCCAGACCGCTGGCTGGTGAGCTTTCTCCCGAGTTTGCAGCTACTCCAGAGATGGAGCTGGTGGGGTGGTGGGGAGAAGGAGCATCTAGGGACAGATGTGACATGTGCCCTGGTAAGGAGGGAGGAGCTGCAGGTCACACACACACTCACACACACTCACATATACACTCACACATGCACACACATACACTCACACACATGCACACACAGGGTCACATTCACATAAACACACACTTTCACATACACATACACAGTCTTGCACACTCACACATAAACAAACTCATATACGCTCATACACACACAGTCTCATACACATACACAGTCACATAAGTACACACAAACTGAGATGAGGTCACACACAGGGTCACATTCACACATAAACACACATTCACATACACATTCACAGTCTGACACTCTCACACATACACACACTATCACATAAATCACAAATTCTGAGCTGAAGTCACACACACATACCCACAGAGTCACACTCACACATAAAGATACACATTCACATACACATGCACAGTCTCACACTCACACATATATGCACACACTCACAGATGCTCATATACACACACAGTCTCACACACATACACACACACATTCACATAAATACACAAACTCTGAGCTGAGGTAACACACACATACACACACACACACACACTCCCTGTCTCACACACACAAAACACACATGCACACATACACTCACTTATCTGAGGTGGGTCCCGGGAGCTCTCTCACCTGGGGAGGGAAGGAGGCAGAAACGGTCTGTCTGTAGTGGCAGGAGGTGGGGAAGGTATGGGGTGCTGCTTTGGCAGGAAGAGTTGGTTTCGGATTTCCAGCCTTTCCTGCCTTTCCAGGTATCTTCCCAGGTCCTGGGGCTGGAGGGAGCGAAAGTGGTGGGGGCCCATGACTCTGGGACCTCTGGGACGGGGGATGCTTCCTGGGTCTGCCTGGGTTGTGGTGCAGAGAGGCGAGAGGGCTGTGGGGGTGCTGGGGAGCAGGTATGGGTCTGTGGGTCGCCCCTGGGCAACCTTTGTGTTGGGGAGGGGCCAAGATAGGACAGAGTTGAAGGTTCTGTGGACGTCCGTGTGTTACTGTGCCAGCCCATGAGTCTGGATGGCTCCGGGCTCGTCTGGGGGTGCGCAGAGCCAGAGCAGTGGGTGGGAAGGGGTGGGGTGCCGGTGGGGGGGTTGCTCACCGCGCAGCCTCTGGACGCGGTCCCCACAGGAGCAGCTCTTTGGGGGGGCTGCCAGTGCCCAGGAACTTGAGGTGTGCCTTCTCCTTGACTGGCTGCTGGCCGTCCTTGTTCTGCGTCTCCCGGGGCTCCACCCAGCCTGCCTGCCGGACGCGCTGACCGTGAACTTTGCTGTTCGTGGGGCATTGCGAAAGATCTGAAGGTTTGAAAATGCTCTGTGCACGCGGGCGGGGGGCGTGTAGGGGCTTCTGAGGTGGGCTCTAGACAAGTGCTTACTGCGGGCACAGAGCCCCGGGGCATCCTGCCAAAGCACCAGGTGATGACCCCCCAGAACCCCCAGCCATCACTCACCTGCCAGTCCCTTCCAGCCCTCCTGCCCCCCTGGCTGTAGGAAGTGGGTGAAAGGGGGTGCCAAGACCAGCGCGTGGACCTGAGGCCACCTCCCAGGGGGCGGTGCCCCTTGGTGATACCTGTTGGCACGAGGGGAAAGGAGTTTGGGTGGCCCGGGAAGGTGGCAGGTGGCTGTGGGGAAGGTGGCAGCCTGCCCACAGTGGGCCTCACGCTCTTCCCTCCGCAGGTGGCTGGACGGTGGCCCCCAGGCTGAGCTCCTGGCTGCGGGCTCCCCACAGACCATGTCCCAGGCCCTGGAGCGCACCGAGGGCGGCTGGGCCTGGGTGGTGCTGCTGGCCTCCATGGTGACCCAGGCCCTCACGCTGGGTTTCCCCCCCTGCATCGGCATCTTCTTCGAGGACCTGCAACGCCAGTTCCAGGCCAGCAACAGCGAGACCTCGTGGTTCCCGTCCATCCTGACGGCCATGCTGCATGCGGGCGGTGAGTGGCCGGAGGGCCCTGGGGGCTCGGGGACAGTGTGGACGTCACTTTGTAACTTTCCAGCTGGAACCTTCCTGAACCCTGACTTCTCTGCAGGGCCAGGGCGGGAGGTGGGCACCGACCTGTCCCGCAGGGGGTCCCAGGCAAGATCAGGAGACCTGCAGGGAAAGGTCCGCGGCTGTGGGGCGTGGAGACCCTGTTGGGGGTTGTAGAAAGCAGGGTGGGGGGTCACAGCAGGTCCGTGGGTACCCCAGCCAGGATGGGCACTCCTGAGGTCACCCCTTTTTGCAGAGAGGGCAGGGGCTGCCCCGAGGGCTACGCCATCTTGTGCGGTGAGTGGCACAAGGGCACCACTCAGCCTGGGCCTTCCCCAGAGTTGCCGCCTGTCACTAGCACCCCGATTTCCGGCCACTCCCTCCACCCGGCCAGCTGCCTGCTTGTCTGTCATTCAGGTCCTGGTCTTGTGAATGACAAGTCGAGCCTGGGACTTCCACAGCAGGGAGGCCTCTGAGTCTGCAGGGAGGGTGTGGCCAAAGCAGGGGTCAGCGGGAGGGATGGAGGGTCTGGGGCAGGCTGGGAGCCCCCAAGCCTTGTGACTTTAGTCTCATTACTCCAACCAGGCGCTCCACCTCCTCCCCCCCGCCCCGCCTCTCCCCCTCTCTGTCAGCCCACTGGCAACCCACACTCTTTCAGAGGGAGGTAAAAACGGTCACCTTGAGGGTATGAGGGTGCCCCACACTTTGGTTGCAGGATGTGCCAGGGTTCCCCAGGACTCCTTGCTGAGACAGCTGGGGTGTGCGCGGGGCCCACTCACTGCTTCAGATATGGAACCCCAGGGCCGCACACCAGGGTGCTCCCACTGGGAGGTGCCGCCCTCCCCTCCCCCCTCAGCTCAGTGACTCATGACTTTCTCCAATGTCACCTTGCCCCAGTGGGGCCGAGGCATGGGGGTGGGGAGCCCTGCGGGTCAGAGGTCACATCCACTCCCTCCAGCTGACGCCACCCCGGACTCAACGGCTGGCACCCTCTGTACCCAGACACCCACGTCCTCCTTCCTCTGACCACACTTTGGGAGAGTTTCCTGTGCTAGGGGACAGTTCCCAGTGTGAGGGGCTGCTGCAGGCTCATTTCTGCTCAGTCTAACCTGGGGAAGGCGGTGGGGGGCACCACCAGAAGCCTCAGCACTGGGAGGAGCTGGAGGCGATGGGGAGGGAAAGGGAGCCCCACCCCGCTTTTTTTCTTTTTTTTTTGCTTTTTTTGGGGTATATCTGGTGGATACTCAGGGGTTCCTCCTGGCTCTGCACTCAGGGATCACTCCTGGTGGTGCTCTGGGAACCATATGGGGTGCCGGGGATTGAGCCCAGGTCGGCTGCATCATGGCAAGTGCCCTCCCCACTGTATGATGGTTCTGGCTCCACCCCACCACACTTTCTGTGTATCAGTGCTAAGACCAGCGTTTTTGTTTGTTTGTTTGTTTTTGGTTTTGTTTTTGTGTTTTGACGGGGAAGCACATCAGGCGATGCTCAGGGGCTACTCCTGACTCTGTGCTCAGGAATCAATTCTGGTGGGCTCAGGGGACCACGTGGGATCCCAGGGATTGAACCCAGGTTGGCTGTGCAAAGCCAAAGCTCCAACTGCTGTATTGTCGCTCCACACCCCCCTCCTATTTGTTTGTTTGTTTGCTTCTATTTGTTTGCTCAGGGCTCACTCCTGGCTCTGCACTCAGGAATCACTCCTGGCAGTGCTCCGGGAGCCATACGGGATGCTGGAGATCGAACTTAGGTTGACTGTGCAAGCACATGCCCCCCGCCGCCCCCGCTGTCCTGTCACTCTGGCCCCACTTTTTGGTTTTTGATGCTTGTACTATTGAGTGTGGGGTACCGAGACCAGGGCTGGGTGGTTCAACTGGGGCCTCTGGTGGGTGCCTATATGGTCCAGCCTCACCTCACAGCTGTCAGGCATGTCCTGGTGTGAGCTCACTGGAGGGGAAACTGAGGCCTGAAGAGGACACGTACCTGGCCAGTGTATGGTGGGGTGGGGGCCAGAGGCCCTGCCGGGAGTGCTGGGCTGCCTATGAGCCTCCTGGCCAGGTCCCGGAGCCTCTCTCGCCCTGCGCCCTCCTCACGGCCCCCCCACCCCGTGTCTCCACAGGTCCCCTCTGTAGCATCCTGGTGGAGCGCTTCGGCTGCCGAGTGACCATGATGCTGGGCGGCTTGCTGGCCTGCCTAGGCTTGGTGGCCAGTTCCTTCTGCCAGAGCCTCTGGGCACTCTACGTCACGGCTGGCTTCATCTCAGGTGCCGCATCCCCACCCGGAGCATTTCGGGGTGCAGAGGGTGGAGGTCAACCGGGTTCCTGTCTCCTGGGGCTGGGACCATTAGCCGCCCATCAGCACGGAGGGACTTTCTGTGTCCTGGCCAGGCTGGCCACAGCACCTGATACAGTGTCCTGGGGGGGAGGGGCATGGTGGGGGTTAGATGCGCAGGAGGCCCCAGGTGGACCAGAAAGTGGGGTGGGGGGTGGGGGGCTGCTGCTCCCTGTGGGCAGGTGGGCAGAGAAGCCCTGCCTGGGTCCCTGTGGGCAGCGTGAGCATGAGGCCCGGGAAGAAGCTTCCAGATGGAGCAAAGAACCACGCAGAGGCCAGAAGGGTTAGAGGGGCAGGGCTGAAGCGATCGGACAGCGGGGAGGGCGTCTGCCTTGCACGCAGCAGACCCAGGTTCCATCCCCGGCATCCGGTAGGGTCGCCCGAGCACTGCCAGGAGTGATGCCTGAGTGCCTGAGCATCGCCGGGTGTGACCCCAAAAAGAAAAAAAGGCCTGGTGGGCCCCAGGGGGCTGTGCGGCACTCAGGCGCGAGGGCATGAGTACTGCCCTGCGTGCTGGCCCCTGTGCCTCACAGTCCGTGGATTTCTGCGTCCCTTCCTGCTGCTGGGCCACACCTGGAGGTGCTCAGGTCTGACTCCTGACCCAGTGCTCCGGGATCGAATCTAGCAGGGCTGGGGCCGGGGATGGCGCTGGAGGTGGCTGTGTGCAGCAAGTGCCCCCCCCCTCCACTGTGCTCTAGCTCCTCCCTGCCTTGAACTTCTTTTGATTTGGGGGGTATATTTTGGGCCACACCCAGCAGTGCCCTGGGGTCAGTCCTGTTGGTGCTTGAGGGACTATATGCGGTTCCAGGGATCGAACTGGAGTTGGCCACATGCCAGGCCTGTTTTGAGAGTAGCCAGGCAGCAGCCCCGGAAGTGACGGGGGAGGGGCAGGAGTGTGTTTGCAGGCCGGACTGGGGGGGTCACAGCTCTGGTCACCACAGGGGCCGGTGGTCAGCTGGGAGGAAGGAAATAGGCCCGATGGCCACTGAGGAAGTCGGAGGAGAAACAGGCGGGGGTTGGGGGGGCAGCAGCCACAGCCCACCCTCCAGCTCCCCTCTAGCAAGTTCCACTGCTGCATGGGAGAGTTGGGGGTTGCTGGAGAGCCCTGGGGGAGGTGGCAGATGAGCTGAGCAGGCGAGGAAGGTGGGGGCAGGGAACAGTCCCAGGCAAAGGGAGTGCAAAGGTCCTGGGGAAGAAAAGCTGGCATCAGGAAGGTGACCCTGGGTGACTCCCTGGGAGTTTCTGGGGCCACACCTGTAGGTGCTGGTGGGAGGGGGGCCCTCCTCCAGGGCGGCACCTGCATAGATTCAGGACCCTGCCGAGCCCGGAATGAAACCTCAGTAATGCCTCCTGGGCCCCATGCTGTGGATTTCTTGGCAAGGAATGTTCTGGAGGGCCCGGAGTGGTAGCACAGTGTGAATGGCTCTGGCCTTGCACATGGCAGACCCAGGTTCCAGCCCTGGCACCCCAGTCGGTCTCCCGAGCCCCTCCAGGAGCCATCCCTGTTCGCAGAGTCAGGAATCGGCCCTGAGCACTGCCGGGCGTGGCCCCCAAAGGAACAAACAAAAAGGGAAAGTTTGGGAAGGGATAATTTCCGGTTTGAGAGGTCTCCCTGTGCCGAGTGCAGGGGTGCAGGGGGCGGCTGGCAGCATGGGGAAGGCAGAGCTGAGGCTGTGCTCCCCACCCCGTCCAGCCCGGCCTCCTGTCCCCCCCGCAGGCCTGGGCATGTGCTTCAGTTTCCAGTCCAGCATCACGGTCCTGGGTCTCTACTTCTCCCGCCGGCGGGCGCTGGCCAACGCGCTGGCCTCCGTGGGCGTCTCCCTGGGCATCACACTCTGGCCGCTGCTCTCGCGCTCCCTCCTGGAAGATCTGGGCTGGAGGGGCACCTTCCTGGTCTTCGGTGGAGTCCTGCTGCACTGCTGCGTGTGTGGGGCCGTCCTGAGACCCATGCCCCCCCGCGCGGCCCCCCAGGCGCCAGCAGGCCCCCTGCTGCCGCCCAAGACGCCCGGCCCGGGCTGCCTGGTGGCATGCGGCCGCGCCGCTAGGCGCCACCTGGCCTTCGACGTCCTGCGGGAGAATGCAGCCTACCGCGTGTACACCCTGGGCGTCGTCTGGATGATCCTGGGCTTTCCACTGCCCCACGTCTTCCTGGTGCCCTATGCCCAGCGGCATGGGGTGTCCGAGCACAAGGCTGCCTTGCTCATCTCTGTCATCGGCTTCAGCAACATCTTCATGCGGCCGCTGGCCGGGCTGCTGGGTGGCTTTCGGGACTTCGCCCGCCACCGCAAGTACCTCTTCAGCATGGCAGTGCTGCTCAACGGCCTCACCAACCTGGTGTGCGTGGCCTCGGCTGACTTCTGGGTGCTGGTGGGCTACTGCCTGGTGTACAGCGTGTCCATGAGCGGCATTGGCGCCCTCCTCTTTCAGGTCCTTATGGACCTTGTCCCCACAGAGCGATTCTCCAGCGCCCTGGGCCTCTTCACCATCCTGGAGAGCATCTCCATCCTCATCTCCCCACCACTGGCTGGTGAGGCCTCGGGAACAGGCTTCTGGGAGGGGGTCAGAGTGGGGGGTTATGTATGTTTGTTGTGGTTATTTATTTATTTATTCTTTATTTGGGGCCAACCCCGACGAGGTACAGGGCTGACTCCTGGCTCTGCACTCAGGGGTAACTCCTGGTGGGGTTCAGGGGAATCCCAGTCGGTCTCCCGAGCCCAGGGATGGAACTTGGATCTGCCACGTGCAAAGCAAGCACCTGTTATGCTACTGCTTCCGCCCAGGTCGGGGGTCCGGTCCAGCAGCTGGGGGCTCAGGGTCTTGATTGCTCTGCCTTGAGGCTCCTCCCAGCTGTGCTTGGGGCTTTAGTTCCTGGCTCAGTTCTGGGACCACTCCTGGCGGGGCTCAGGGGACCTGATGACGTGCCAGGGATCAAACCAGGCTCAGCTGTGCACCAGGCCAGTGCCTTCCCTGGGTCCCTGGGATCTGTGATTTTTCTCAGGCGCCCCCTACCCCCCCCCCCCCCCGACCCTTGACAAAGCTTCGAGCAGGGCCCGGGACACAGACCACTGGCTGCGGCTGGCTTGGAACAGAAGCATCTAGAATTGTCAACTTGGGGGTGGAAGGAGTCACTCACAGGGCTGAGCAGAGGCTTTGCATTCTGGGGGTCTGGGTTGGAGTCCCCTCTCCATGGTTCCTCAAACACTCTTGGGAGAGATCTCAGAGCAAAGAACCGGGCCAGGCCCCTGTGCTCTGCTGGGTCTGGCTCAGGAGTCACAGTAATATCAAGATTCAGGGTCAGGGATGGGTGAAAGGGCCGAGCAGTTGCCTCAGAGCGGGGGTGCCCCTGGTTCCATCCCTGGCACCGTGACTCCACGCTGGAACACCAACCAGAAATACATGGGTTTGCGGGGGGAGCTTTCATTGGGGTGGGGGAAATACAATGGAGCTCCAGGCGGGAACCTGCTGCATGCAAAGCTCGGCCTGCTGAGTGCGCTCTGGGCCGTTGAGGGCTGTGGCTTCTGCCTGCCTCACTGCCACTTTATCACTTCTGTGGGGATGACCATTGGTTGGGTGGCGGCGTGGAGGCAGAGCTGGGGACCCTGCCTTTGCTGTTACAGGCTTCAGCCCTTCCATTTCCTGCCTGGGGGACTGTCAGCGCCTCCCAGAGGGAAACCCCAGCTTTGTCCTTTCTGGTGGAAGAGCTGGGATGAAAGCAGGGCTGGGGCCAGCAAGATAGCCTAGTGGGGAGGGCACTTGCCTGGCACAGCATCCTTTAGGGTCTTCTGAGCCCTGCCAAGAGTGATCCCTGAGCTGGGGCCGGAGCAATAGTACAGCAGGGAGGGCGTTTGCCTTGCACACGGCCGAACCGGTTTCAATCCCCGGCATCCCATATGGTTCCCCTGAGCACCGCCAGGAGTAATTCCTGAGTGCAAAGCCAGGAGTAACCCCTGTGCATTGCTGGGTGTGACCCCAAAAGCAAAAAAAAAAAGAAGAGTGTTTCCTGAGCACCTGAGCACAGCCAAGAGTAAGTCCTGAGTACCACCAGGTGTGGTTCCCCCACCCCCAAAAAAGAAGAGGTAAGCAGAAATCAGTTTGTGATCTCTGTAGGCGAGCCAGGGGACGCCACCAAGCCCTCTCCGCAGAGTCCCCCACCCTGGGGACCCCCTGAAGGCCCCCCAACCTGGGACTCCCAGGCTTGGTGCTTGAGGCCTTCTCTGAGGACTGCTGAGTGCAGCCTCCAAGACCCCAAACCAAACAGCAAGCAGAGGCCCTCAAGGGAGGGCTTACTGGGCAGCGGAGTGATGAGGGCGGGGCTCAGAGCAGGAAAGTTGCTGGCACCCTTAGGTGGGGGGCAGTGACTGCAGACTTGGGGGATCTTGGGTGGGCAGTAAATTCCGAGTTTGCAGGGGAGTCCTCCGAGCTGAGAAGCAGGGTGAGCTTGAGGGGCAAGCGGGCAGGCAGGCTTGTGCCCCCGACTTCCTGGCCCCAGAGCTATGGGGGGCAGATGCGAGTTTCCTTCACTGCAGTCTGCAGAGGAGCTGGGCACTTCTGGGTGCGGTCAGTGGGGGCAGCCTGGGGGCCCCTGAGGCAGGCCTGACTCTCACCCTCTGTCCCTTAGGGCTCCTCCTGGACACCACCGACAACAACTTCAGTTATGTTTTCTGCATGTCCAGCTTCTTCCTCATCTCTGGGGCGCTCTTCATGGTGGGCGGCTTCTACGCCCTGCAGAGGAAGGAGCAGCAGGCCCGGCGTGCGGAGGCTGAGGGCGTGAGGCCAACAGCTGCCCAGGAGCCGAGCCTCAGCCCCACAGACAGCAAGGGCGCCAAGAAGCCGCCCAGCACAGAGGTCACTTGTGTGACCAGCGTCTGAGCCCAGAGGCCTGAGAACTAGATGTCCAGCTGCGCACATTGGAGGCCAGCCTCCCAGGAGGACTCGGGCTTCCTGACCAGGGGAACAGTCGGTCCAGGAGCAGGTCTCGCTAGGGTGCAGGGTCTCTGGCAGGTTGTCCTGGGCCCTGTGAGGCTCCACTTGCTGCCCACAGGCACTGGGGCTGGAGCCACAGCACAGTGGGGAGGGTGCCTGCCCTGCACGCGGCTGGCCCAGGTTTAATCCCCGACATCCTCTATGGTTACTGAGCACCTCCAGGAGTGATTCTTGAGCACAGAGCCAGGAGTGACCCCTGAGTATCGCCGGGTGTGATCCAAGCCCCCCCACAACAAAAACCAGACCGCACTGACCCTTCCTGTTCCTCTCTCTGTCCGCCTCGACCTCCTCTGCTCTCCTGGACACCCCCATTTCCCAAATAGCCCCACCCTTGTCCTCTGAGACTGGGGCAAGGGGTGAGTGGACTCTGGCGGGGCTGAAGTTTGGACAGAGCCGGCATTGGGTGGGGCCCCACCACTGGCTCCCGTCCAGAGAACCGGAGGGGAGCCCCTCCCCGGATTAGGGGGTTCACCCTGCCCAGCAGGGCCTGCCGAATATCTCCTGGATCTCAGCCAGGGAAAGGGCTTATGAAAAGGGGTGAGTGGTGGAGGGCCTCAGAAATGCGCACTCACAAAGTGGCCAACACCCTCCTCAAGGACTGCAAGCATCAGCCGGGGCGGGGGGCCGGGGAACCCCAGCTCAGTTTGCCTAGGAAGCCATGTCCCCTGTGACCAAGAAGTCACAACACCCCCACCCCCCCTTTTTTTTTTTTTTGCTGGTGCCCTTTCCTGAGGCCATCACCTGGAGACTGGCTGTCTTCAGCCCTGGCCAGCCCCAGCAGGGGACCGAGCAGGGAACGGAAAACAGAGTGTGTTTGGATTGGACACAGAGCCTGAGGCTGCAGAGGAGCTGAAACACAGGCTTGCACTCCTTGGCTCTGCAGCTCTGACTCAGCAGGTGCTGCTCCCGGTCCTGGACCTTGTTTGTTGATTCAGGCTCAGTCAGGCTCCAACAAGAAAACCTTACCGGGAGATTCGATTTGAATTTTCCAACTTGAGTGGAGCCGCCTCCTGGGCAGCCCTACCGCGGGGGAGGGTTACCCCCACGCTCCCGGGGTTTCTTCCCAAGAGCCCTGCGTCGAGTGCCCCCTGCTGGCCAGAAACGGGAGAGCAAGAAATTCATGTTCGGGTCGGCCGGAAATTGCGGTGGGGAGCAGTTTGTGTCCAGGGCCAGAGCACAGCGGGGAGGGCGCTTGCTCTGCATGCGGACGACCCAAGTTCGATCCCCGGCATTCCATATGGTCCAGACTCAGGAGTAACACCCGAGCACCGCTGGAATCCCTTCCAGTTTAAGGATTGATCCTAGGGCCCCTCCTAGGGAAAAAAAATAAAGGTGTCATACTCAGGGCAAATTTAAAGTGCTACACATAATGCCATGTGTGGCTGCTTGCATGCGCCTTACCTACTGGTCCCCCCAGCCCCCAACTGAAGGCTTGGGGTGCTTGTCTCCACTGTGCAGCCCTGGATGTCTTTTTGGTCCTCCCATGTCTCTTATTTCTCCTGATAAGGAAAGAAATAAGTGAACATTCAAGGCTAAGCCAACCTGTGATGATTAAGTAATTATTTCTGGGCAGAATTCTTTCAATAAAATTTTCAGTAACTATTTTGGAATATCTACTGGGTACCAGGGTAAGACCTGGTTGCTGTCTTCTAGATCTGCTGAATTCTTCCGAAGGCAACCACGACCCGAGGCTGGGCGATCCCTGGCTGTCCGCATGCCAGGCCCATGGCCCAGGCCCCTGGCATATGCCTGCTGGCCAAGGTCCCAGCTCCCTTAACGTACAATCTGCGTGTGAAAGCGCCTCTGCTCCGTGCTGTTGAAGCGGTTCATGGGGAAGGAGCGTTAGGACCATCCCATATGATCTCCTGAGCACCGCCAGTAGGGGGAACCGGTTCCACAGCGAACTCTAAAGTGTTGTCCAGATTCCCAAGGTTTGGGGTACCTCCGTCTTCCTAGAAGGTGGTGTCAAAGGGGCATGAGTAGGGTGCACTCAGGGTGTACCCTGCACCTAGGGATCCCTCCTGGCGGGACTCAGGGCCCATAGGTGAGGCCAGGGCTCGAACCCCGGTCGCCCGTGTGCAAGGCGAGCGCCCTCCCAGGTCTACTAACGCGGGTCTTTTTTGTCTTTTGGATCACACGGTTACTCTTGGCTCTGCACTCAGGTGCTTGGGAGACCATGGGTCGAACCCGGGTCGCCCACGTGCAAGGCAAACGCCTACCCCCTGTCCTATCGCTCTTGCCCTGCACTAACACAGTTCTAAGCGCCCCAGGAGCGGTGGCCCGAGGCGAAGTGCGCACGCGCGCCGAGCTCAGAGCCGGGCACGCCCCTTCCGCCGGGGGCGGGGCTAAGCGCGACTTCCGGGGGAATCCCGGAACCCGGCGCCGAACCCAGCCCTAGAGCTGTGCCTTGGTGCTCCTTGTAGCGTGGTCCCCGGGTCCTGGGTTCTGGCCCCTGCCCCCGACTTAGAGTGTCAGGCACGCTGTTACACGGCCCGGGGACCCCGCCCTTCTCTCCACCTGGCAGTGGAAAGTACTGCAGAACCTGAGGCCCCGAAAGGAACCGGTTTTCCACCCGAGTTCGACTCTCCACACTCTCCTGTCCACCCGCTCCGGGACCCTCCGCTGCCCCCCCGACCATGGCCCAGAAGCCCAAGCTTGACCCGCACGTCGGGCGGCTGGGGTACCTGCAGGCGCTGGTCACGGAGTTCCAGGAGACTCAGAGCCAAGGTGAGCGCGGGGGCCCGGGGGGCAGCGGCCGGCCACGACTGCCCCCCGAGGCCTGACTCCAGGCCGGTTCCCGCTGCAGACGCCAGGGAGCAGGTCCTCGCCAACCTCGCCAACTTCGCCTATGACCCCAACAACTACCCCTATCTGCGGCAGCTGCAGGTCCTGGACTTATTCCTCGATTCGCTGTCGGAGGAGAACGAGACGCTGGTGGAGTTTGCGCTGGGTGAGTCCAGGGCCGGTGCACACGCCCACCCCACTGACCGCCGACCCCTGAGCTCGAAGTTGAGTCGTTGGCACACAGTGGGCTGAGCTTGGCCAGAGCTGGATTCTGGGGTCAGGCGGGATTTGGGGGCGCCTAATCCTTCCCCGCCCTCTTTATTCTGGGCGTGTGATGGTCGTTCCTGATGGGCAGCAGGGCACAGTCAGTACCTGGTAGGCCGCATGCTTAGCACGTGTGAGGTCCCGCTTTTGTTCCTGGTACCCCGAAACTCCTTGGATGTGCGCCACACCCCCCTCGTATCCATAGGGCCCAGATATACAGCCAGATCTTAGTAGACCCATGTGAGCGAAAGGATTTGGAACGTGGCCGGAGAGCTCAGGAGGTAAGGATTGCTGGGGTGGCGTCCCCAGCACCACGAAGGGTCCCTGCTGAGCAGTCAGGAGTGGCCTCTGAGCGCTGCTGGCTGTGCCCCCAAACAATCTGGAGTTTGTCCCTCAAAGATAAAACTCTGGCAGGGGCGAGAGAGATAGTACAGTGCGTAGGGCACTTGCCTTGCTTGCGGCCAACCCGAGGCATCCCATTAGTCCCCCAAGCACCACCAGGAGTAATTCCTGAGTGCAGAGCCAGGAATAACCCCTGAGCATCGCCGGGTGTGACCCAAAAAGCAAAAGCAAACACACACACACACACACACACACACACTCATCAAAACAAAACTCTGGCAGCCTTTGGTATTAACTTGGAGCTGTTTGCCCAAAGCACCATTGATTCTCCTAGGTACTGTGAGAAAACAGAAAGGAACCAGGAGAGGGGCCACTGAGAGAGAACAGCGGGACAAACACTTTGCAAGCGGCAGCCCTGGATTTGAGTCCCTGCACCTGAGCACCGCGGGGTATCCCCAAAACCCAATAATAAAGAAAGAAACGAGGAAAAAATTCTCAACCGCCGTGAAAGCCAGTTCGGTCTTTGGCTAACCCAGAGATTGTGGCAGCTTTGTTAGCGACATGGCCCTCCTAGGCGACCTCCCTGGGTCGCAAAACCCCTTTCTTATGTGCTTTCTCCTGCATTGCTCCTGGCTGCCACCAGATGGCAGTGAAACTCAAAAAAACAAAAACAAAAACAAAAGGCCAATAATAGTGGCCTGGTGGATTTTTTTTTGTGCTTTTGTTTTGAGGGGTGGGGGTTGGGGCCATACCTGGTGGTGCTCAGCTGCTATTTCTGGCTCTGTGTTCAGAGTGACCCTAAGGTGTGCTTGGGATCCAACCAGGGTTGGCAGGGGTCTTACCTCCTGTATTCTCTCTCCCCGCTTCCTCTTTGTTTTGGTGTTTTTAATTTTTAATTGCTGTTCATAGACTCTTTGGAAAACAGTATTTAGAAAAACTGAAGGTAGGGTGTCCTGGAGTGATAGCACAGCAGGGAGGGCACTGCCCTTGCATGTGGCAGACCAGGGTTCAATCCACAGCATTCTGTATGGTCCCCTGAGCCTCACCAGGAATGATCTCTGAGCCACAGAGCCAGGAGTAAGCCCTGAACGCCACCCCATATGCAACCCTGCCCACCCCGCAAAAATAAAAAAGAAAAAAAAAATTGAAGGTCAACATACCTCAGCAATTGTGTCCACAGGAACAAGCCCAGTCAGCAGTGGATGTGTCACTGCCTAACTGGAAACAGTCAACACTAGCACAGAAGCCACTTTGTGGCACAGTCATACTCTGTAGTAAGCTAAAGAACAGGCTATGGCTGCAGGGAATTTTTGTTTTATTTAATTTTTGCAGCTAGACCTGCCTCTGGGCCGACTAGACTGAGGAAACAGGACGGGGGCAGGTCCTGTGTTGGCTGCGTCCTGTGTTCTGTTTTTGGGGCCACACTGAACTGTGCTTACAACTTACACCCAGGCAGGCTCTGGGGACCATTTTGGGATACTGGGGATTGAACCTGGGTGAGTTGTGTGCAAGGCAATTGCCCTCCCCACTGTTCCCCTAGGCAGGCCTCTCTGGAACAATCTGGACCCTTTGTCCCTAACCGTACACCTGGGACAGGAAGGCAGAGAAAATTGCAGGCCAGGGCCGGAGTGATAGTACAGTGGGGAGGGCATTTGCCTCACATGCGGCCGACCCGGGTTCAATCCCTAGCATTCCATATGGTCCCCCAAGCACTGCCAGGAGTAATTCCTGAGTGCAGAGCCAGGAGTGAGCCCCGAGCATCACCGGGTGTGATCCAAAAAGCAAAATTATATATATGTATACATATATCACAGGCCAGGTGGGTGGGCGGGTGCAGCACTGAGGCCCCCATGCTCTCCCCAGGAGGCCTCTGCAATCTGTGCCCAGACAGGGCCAACCAGGAGCATATCGTGCAAACGGGAGGCGTTCCCCTGGTCATCAACTGCCTGTCCAGCCCCAACGAGGAGACTGTGCTGTCGGCCATCACCACCCTCATGTTCCTCAGCTCGGGCCCGGGCCGGCCGGCCGAGATCAATGCCCTGCCGGTGGTGCAGTGCATGCTGCGCTTCTCCCTTTCGGCCAGCGCCCGGCTCCGGAACCTGGCCCGGGTCTTCCTGGAGGACTTCTGCTCCCCCAGCCTGGTGGCCGAAGCCCGCAGCCGGGACGCGCAGTCTGCCCTGGGCATCCCCCTGCCCCGGGCCTCAGGCCCCCAGTGCTCCTGAAGGAACAGCTCGGGACTGGGACACACTTTTGCCCGAGGCCAGACCAGAACCCTGGCGGCTGAGGAGGCCAACGAGCACCCACCCAGCAGTCCCCACCTGGCGCCCATTCAACGTGTGACGTGTCCAGCCTCTGAGACATGGGGAAAGGAAATCAGCGGCGCTCTGCTGGAGGTGGGAGTCCAGCTCCCTGCTTCTCTGGACAGTGTCTTGAGGAGCGCGGAGGATGGAGACGGCAGGGACATCGTGCGGAACGGACCCAAGAGATCCTACTGCGGAGGGCGCTGGCCTGCATGTCGCCAACCCGCGTTTGATCCTTGCCACCCCATATGGACCCCAGTCCCGCCAGGAGTCACCTCTGAGCACAGCTGTGTGTGACCCCAAAAGAAAACAAAACCCCAGTACTGCAGGGCAGTGCCAGCTGGTGACTCAGTTCACATGGCCCTGCCCACTGCTGTGATGGGCGTGAAGGTGCGTTGGAATCCAACTCCCCAAGCCCTCCCTGAAAGTCCCAACTTTTCTCCACTGCTAGGCAGGGATGTGGGGGAAGAAGTCACTGTCCCCCGAAGTAGGTCATGGGGGGGGGGGGAGCTGCACGAAAAACGATGCTCAAAGGAGGCAGGTCCAGAAAGTGACCACAAGCACGGGGCCCAGGTTCCGGTGTCTGTGGGTCAGCAGAGGGGACCCCGGGGAAGTTAGGGTACAGAACAAGCGAGGTCAGAATGGGGGAGTGGGTGTCACTGTGATGTTCTGGCACCAGATGCCACCCTGGTGTGGCCCGATGAGTAAAGGAATGGAAAATAAAAGGTATCATGCCAAGCAGTGAGGAATCTGGTCTCTACCCGCCAAAGGCTGGCGTCCAGGGGGGCTGGAGTGGGCAGATTTGGGGACTCATGAGCCTGCATGAACCTCAGCTTTACTTCCCCAGTCAAGGGCCTTCCCAGAAAATGAGCAAAGGGTTTTATTCCAGGTTCCAGCCAATTTCCCAAGGGCTGCAGGGCCAGCCCTGTCGTGAGGCCACGACCAGCAAGGACCAGCTGGGGCCAGCTCCCCTCACTGCTGCGGGTCCCCTGGTGCCTGCTGCCCAGCCGCCCGCTTGCTGTCCACGATGTCTCTCCAATTGTCGCTCCAGGAGCTCAGGCGGCGCCTGGTGGGGGGCAGGGCCAGGTGGCGGTTGTGGCAGCAGGTGAAAAGGATGTGCTCCCAGCTCGGGGTCTCCTCCTGGCCTGGTGTGGGTGAGAGGCACGTGTCTGTGGCTCCCCTCGCTCCCCTCCCCTCTCCTCATCCCCCTCCAAGAGACCCACCAACCTCGAATGGTGTCCTTGTCATCGATAAGCAGGTCCCCCAGAACCACCGTCTTATCCCGGGTCAGGATGATGCGTTCCACGAAGCGGGGCCCCAGGTGCTTCTCCACCCATTGGTACTGTGGGGGTAGGCAAGCAGGTGGGGAGGGGCACAGACCTGGCGGAGGGGGCGATTCTGTCCCCCACCCAGCCACCATGCACTGTTCTGTGCCTTTTGAATTTTGGGGCTTTTGGGGGCCACACGAAGGGGTTGGGGGTTCAGGGACCACTCCTGGCAGATCTGGGGGGACCGTCAGGGGATTGAAGCTGATTGGCCAGGTGCAGCCCGCATTTAAGAAACCGGAGCCATGGGGCTGGAGCGATAGCACAGCGAGTAGGGTGTTTGCCTTGCAAGTGGCCGACGGGGGCTTGATTCCCAGCATCTCATATGGTCCCCCAAGCACCACTGGGAGTAATTCCTAAGTGCAGAGCCAGGAGGGGTTTGCATCGCGGGGTGTGACCCAAAAAGCAAAACTGGAGCGGGGGTGCGGCTCCCGGGTTGATTCCTGGCACCCCACATGGCCCCCCAAGCACCGCCAGGTGCGCCCTTCCCCACCCCCCATAAAACACCGGAACACCAAACTGGCTGGTGTGGAGCAAGTTGGGAGACGGGGATTGGGGGCGCACCTTCTCCCCAACACAGTGCTGGTACTTGAGCAGAGGGCTGGTGCAGATGAAGACCTCGGTGCTGTGGGGGGCAGGGGATCAGAATGGGCTCCCGGTGGCACCCGGCCTCCCCCGCGGCCTCCCGCCTCACTCGGGCATGGCGTCCATCTCCCGAACGGCGTCCAGGGCTCCGGGCAGGGGCTCCAGGTCCAGGAAGAAGCCCGGCGCTTCGTACACGCTGGCCACTTTGTCCTGCAAGGCACGAAGGCGCGGGCCTGGCTCCCCGCCCCGAGGAAAGCGGGGCTGTGGCTTTGGGGGCGCTGACCCGGGAGGGGCCCGGGCTTCCCTGGCCCGGGACGCGCCGCGGACTCGGAAGTGAGTTTTGCTGGTTTGTTAGACCGGGGGACGGGGGCGAGGGTGTCCCAGGAGGGCTCCTACCGCCAGGTCGGGCCGCAGCGCCCGGTACTGCTCGCGGGCCAGGAAGCCGCGGCGCTGCTCCAGCGGCACGTGGGGCTCCCCGGGGAAGCGGCGGCGGAAGCCGCGCAGCAGGCCGGCCTCGAAGTCGGCCAACACGCCGTCCATGTCCAGCAGCACCCGCACGGGCCGCGCGCGCGTGGCCGGGGAGGCCATGGCCGCTGCGGGGCCGAGAGGCGGCCGGGGCGCTGGGGGGTCGGGGCGCGCGGGGTGATCTGGGGGTGCAAGGCCGGGGCGCGCGGGGCGATCGGGGGATGCAACGCCGGGGCGCGCGAGACGGCCGGGGCGCGTGGGGCGGCGGCGGGAAGCGCGCGGGGCGATCGGGGCGCGGGGCGATCCGGGGGCTCAGCACCGGGACGCGCGGGGTGGTCGGGGCGCAGGGCGATCGGGGGGCACAGGGCGGGAGCGCGCGGGGCGATCAGGGGGCGCAAGGGGCGGTCGGGCGCGTGGCGATCGGGGCCGCAGCTCCGGGGCTCGCGGGGCGGTCGGGGGGCGCAGCGCCGGAGCGCGCGGGGCGACCGGGGGCGCGCGGGGCGGCCGGGCGCTGGGCGGCGACGGGAAGCGTGCGGGTCGGCCGAGCTCGCGCTTCCGGGGCGCCCGCGGGCGGGGCCGTCGGGGCTCATTTGCATGCGGCACCGCCCCCGGCGGGGTTCGGGGCGGTCTTTTGGTCCTCGCACCCCGATGGGCCTGACCCCTCACCTGCAGCCCCGGGGGCCGCGCCCGCCCTGGAGCCGACGGGGCGCTGATCCTCTCCCCCCCAGGAGGCCCGCGGTAGCCCTTGCAGGGCCGGGCAGAGCGACCACCCAAGACACCGGGCAATGAGCGCCGCGGGCAGTTTGCCTGGCACGCACCCGGCCCCGGGCCCAGTCCTCGGCGCCCCCCAGGGCTCCCCGCGCAGTTAGCGCCGGGTGCGGTGGGATCCGGGGCGTCCGCGTCCTGCTGGAGGCACCGGGGTACCCAGGCTATTTGTCCCTGAGGACAGGCGGCTCGGGGACGGGGCTGCGTGCACCCCACATCCCAGGCCGTGCTCTGGGGACCCTGTGGTGTCCAGGGGATCCAGCCCAGGCTGGCCGTGTGCAAGACAAGCACCCGATCCACTGTATTATAGCTCCAACTGCTGGTTTTCAAAGGAGGAAGCGGCGGCATTAGCAATCAGTCCTCCGCGGGTTCTTTCCTCCTGTTTTTTATTGTTTTTAGATCACACCCGGTAGTGCTAGTTGCTCAGGGTTTACTCCTGGATCCCAACTCAGGGATCACTCCTGGCAGGGACTCGGGAATGCATGGGGTGCCGGGGATAGAACCGGGCCAGCGCGGGGTAGGGCAGACTCTTTGCCACCTCGGTTGTTTCGGTTTTATTTCCAGACCACACCTTGTGACGCACTCCGAGCCTCCTGGCCGTTTCCGGTGCCAAGTACAAGAATTACTCCTGGCTCAGCGTTCAGGAGTCACTGCTGGTGGGGATCCTGGGACCAGATGGCATGCCAGGGATTGCACCCGCACCCAGTTGGTGCAAGGCAAGTGTCTTACCCGCTGTACTCTCTAGTCCAGTTTTTGTCTCTTAATAAATTTATGTAAATTTATTGCTGTGACACTGGTTGATCTTTTTCCAAAATAAGGTGTTATTGTTTGATGGGCTGGAGCGATAGCGGGTAGGGCGTTTGCCTTACACGCGGCCAACATGGCCGACCCGAGTTCGATTCCTCCGCCCCTCTCGGAGAGCCCGGCAAGCTACCGAGAGTATTTGATATGCCAGACACAGTAACAACAAAGTCTCCAATGGAGACGTTACTGGGCCCGCTCGAGCAAATCGACGATCAACGGGAGGGCCTTTACCTTTACCTTTTATTGTTTGATGGGTTCTTTGTTTTTTTTCTTTACTTTTTTTGGGAGGGTCGCACCCCCCGATGCTCAGGAATTACTCCTGGCTCTGCACTCATGAATTACTCCTGGTGATGGATTATATGGGATGCTGGGGATAAAACCTGGGTCAGCACTGAATTACACTCCTGGAGTGGCTCGGGGGAACATTTGGGCTGTATTGTAGCTCCAGCTCCAGTACAATTTCCATTCTAAATTGGGAATGTGTCTCCCTGATGTGTTTCAAATGCACATTGTAAGTCAAGATTTCCACCCATTGGGGCTGGAGCAATAGCACAGCAGGTAGGGCGTTTTGTCTTGTGGCCAACCTGGGTTCAATTCCCATTATCCCATATGGTTCCCTGAGCACCGCCGGGGGTGATTCCTGAGTGCAGAGCTAGGAGTAACCCCTGTGCATCGCTGGGTGTGACCCAAAAAGCAAACAAAACAAAACAAAACAAAACAAACACCATTTCCTCCCATTCCCAGCCAACCCATCAGCCCTTGCCTTGCCCAGTTTCCGCCCACCACCATTCCAGTCAGATCGCTGTGAATCTGCTCTCCCTGCTATTCTTCCCTCTTTTTCTGAGCTTTCTAGTATGAACACTGGGTGTGCTTAGCCAACAAGATTAATAGCGTTTCCTAAAACTGGCCAGCTCTGGGCCGGAGCCATAGCACAGTGGGGAGGGCCTTTGCCTTGCACATGGCCAATTTGAGTTCAATCCCTGGCTTCCCATGTGGTTGGTTCCCTGAGCACCACAAGGAGTGATTCTTGGTTGCAGAGCCAGGGGTCAGCCCTCAGCACTGCTGGGTGTGGCCCAAGAGCTTAAAAAAAAAAAAACCAACCTTGTAGAAATAAAACTAAACATGATGGGCAGAAGAACTGTCCCTCCCACAAGACCTTTGATTAGTCATAGGAGAAAAAAAACAGAAAATGAAAGCCGCAAGTTGTGACATAGTATTTTTGTTTTGGGGCCACACACTGCGGTACTCAAGGCTTACTCTTGGCTCTGTTCCCTGGGGTCACTCCTCACGGGGCTCAGGACCTTATGGACTGCTGGGAATCGAACCTGGGTCAACTACCTGTGAGTAAATTGCCTTACCAGCTGTACTATTGCACCGACCTCATGTGACACAAGTTCTTAGAGCTTGGCTGTGCTCAGGGATGGCGGGTGCCAGGAATTGAAGCCGTCTGCCCCTGCAAACACCTTAACCCCTCCTGTACTGTCTCCCTGCTCCCGGAAATGTTCACTCTGGTGGTATTTGGAGGGGCACCGAGCTGAAATGGGAAGGGTGCTGGCACTCTGGGCCATGTCCAGTAAGATCCAGAAAGATGGACCATCCTAACCATCTTTCTGTTCTCCCCAGAAGCCTGAGAGCCAGAGGGTTTGCACGGTGCCTGAGTCATCTCGAATCAGGGGAGGGGTGAGCTAGTTAGTGGTGATCTAGTTGAGACATCTCTTAGGAAACCCCAAATAACAAGCTGAAGCAACACAGCTGACCCCATGACACAGCCTGAAAGGCAGCTCTGTGTCCTGGAACTTAATGCCTGGGAAGTGTTTATTCAATCTTTTTTTTTTTTTTTTTTGGCTTTGGTCACACTGGGTGATGCTCAGGGGTTCTTCCTGGCTAGGAGCTCAAGGATCTATCCTGGCCGTGCTCAGGGGACTTTAGAGGATACCAGGGATGGAACCCAGGTTGATAGCACTAAGGCAAGCCCCCTCCCCGCTCTGAGCTACCCAGAAAGTGTCCTATCCTGTGTCTCACGCCCCTTGTCTGGTGCAGCACCCCACTGGCTGGGCCTTCCCTTCCTTCTGGCCCCTTTCCCGGCAACCGCAAGCCTCCTGCAGGAGCACATCTGAAGTTACTGCCTGGACAGGTACATGCTGAGTCTCCAACAGATTAGAGTTGGGGGCTGGAGCAGCAGTCCTGCGGGGAAGGCGCTTGCTTCACATACGGCTGACCCAGGTGAGGTGCCCTGCACCCCGCGGGGCCCCTGACCCTGCCAAGAGTGATCTGTGAATGCAGAGCCAGGAATAAGCGTGAGCTCTCTCGGATTGGCCAACGTCTAGTATGGGCTCAGTTACCCACTATTTCTCTTCCCATTAACATTGGTAATTGTTGGATAACATAAGGTTGTCCAGGTCAGAGCAGTAGTACAGCGGGTAGGGCATTTGCCTTGCATGTAGCCTACCCGGGTCTGATCCCCAGCTTTTCTTATTCCCCCCAGTACTGCCAGGAGTAATTCCTGAGTGCAGAGCCAGGATTCCTGAGCTTTGCCGGGTGTGACCCAAAAAGCAAAAATCAAACAAAAATACATTGGGTTGTCCTTGCTCCTCCCTAGGGAGTTTAGGTTTATTGCTACTCCTACAGCAGTGCCCCTGAGGCACACCCAATTCCATCAAGCACTAATAATCCTATATTGCTTTTCTCTTTCCTTTATGTTACTTGCATGATTTAGCAATGTCCTTTTAGTATAGACACAGGGAGACAGTTCATGCTATGCTTTGTAACATGGGAGTTAATTGACTCTGAAATAATATTTACTCTTGGGTATCCATATTTATTTGACTTAAGCCTCAGTTGCCCTTAGTTCCTAGCACTCCAAAAGCAGGGTCGCAATGAAGGGACTGGATGGACCCAGGGCAAGCTGTAAGCTACCCTGGCATCGAAAGGGATCAAGCTAAGTACCTTAAGTTAAGAGCATGGTCATGGACAAACTCTGTCATGACCAAAAAAGAATTGAATAAGGACCCTTCTGGGATTAGGAAAGACTAACCTGGCTTGAGGACTGTGGTCTGGGATATGATTTTGGCGATGCACAGGGGTTACTCCTGGCTCTGCACTCAGGAATTAACTCCTGGCAGTGCTCAGGGGGGTGCTCAGGGGACCATATGGGACGCTGGGAATCGAACCCGGGTTGGCCGAGTGCAAGGTAAATGCTCTACCTGCTGTGCTATCGCTCCAGCCCCAAGAGCCAACCTTTAAGCTTAATATATCTTACTGTGTTCATACAAAATGACTAGAAATATAAGTAAATTTACTATGATTGCTTGTATGAATCGTTTAAATGAATTACTAGCTGAAGAAAAGAGAAAGCAATACACCCTGGGTGGAATCGGGCCCTTGAGCTGATCTAGTAATCTGGAGTCTTAAACCTCAGGTGAGATTTTGTCCTTGAGTTAATCCCCTAGAATTTCCCCTGAAGGAAATTTACATCTGTTTGTTATAATGAACCCCACCTATGTGTACCCTCACCCTTCACAATTTCTGTATTACTGTGCTGTAAGGGGAAAGAGGGAACTAGAAAGAGAACTGAGAGGACATAGGATGAGGAAGAGGGACTAAAATGACTGGGACTATGTCTGTGATTGTGCTGTAAGGGAGAGATCGGACTACGCTGGGGAGGGGAGTTTGTTCCCTGGGTCCTTCATACGTCCTCCATCCCTGTTGTCCAGCCTTGGGAGGCGGCTCTCGGCCACTGAACGCTGGAGTCCCGTACCCCAGCACCTCTGGAATCTCACAGGTAATTATAATCTTGGCATCTCCAATTCTGTCTACCCCCTTTTTCTTTCTTTTGTGGGGGCTTTGCCAGGGAACCGTGAGACCCTGGGGGTGAGCTGGACCTCCTCTAGGTGGCCAGCCCCTGCTCAGTCTGACTTTTTTGGGTTTGGGGCCATACCTGGCAGTACTCAGGGGTTCTTCCTGGCTCAAGGATCACTCCTGACGGTGAGAACTGTCCATGAGATACCAGAGATTGAACCCGGGTCGGCCATGTACAAGACAAGCACCCTCTCTGCTTTGGCCTGTCAGGCTTAACCTGTTTTTTTTTTTCCTTTTTGGGTCATGTCCTATCTCTGCCCTCAGGAATTACTCCTGGGGGTGCTTAGTGGACCACATGGATTGTCGGGGATTGAACCTGGGTTGGCCGAGTGCCATCGCCCAGGCCCCTTGAACCTGGTTTCTTTAGGGAAGCTGGCTGCTCCCTGGGTCTCCTGACTGGAGTGCCACACCTATCCGTGGGTGGCCAAAGTCACTTCCAGAGTAGCTAGGGAGGGAACAGACACGACTGGGCAAAAAAGACCACACAGCACACAAGGTTTCAAAATTTGTACTTGTTTACTTAAGCAACAGTCCAGGATGCTGAAGAACAACACACGAGCGGGTGGGGACTCAAGCACCAGCACCAAGCACACAGCGTCCAGCCATCTGAGAAGGGAATTGCCCCTCCCCCAGGTCTGCAGAGACCCCCACATGTGGGGGGCCCTGGCTTGCACCCCTACTTGGGATCGATCAGTTTGTGGCAACACCAAAGTCATTAAAAAAATTTTTTTCCCCCTGTGGCGGCAGCAGCTTTGCTCACCAGCCAGCCAAGGAAGGATCTGGCTTGTTTTTAAGGTTCCAAAAAAGAAGGCAGTTTCTTTGCTTTGCAGGCAGCAAGGCGAGCCGCAGGCCTCTGTGGATCCATGTGGCACAGGAAGGTACTTTTAGCCAAGGGCACACATTGAGGGCAGTGCCATGGAGAAGGGGGGGCTGAGGGCCAGCCTCGTGCTGGGGGCCACCGATTGTTGGCTTGGGGGACCCCAGTCAAGCTGATGAGAAAAACGTTTTCAGAAAACCTCAGTACAAAAAAGATCCTTGAACAGCTGGGACCAGATTATTGGTTCTTCTGAACACGGTACTGTCACTAAACGTGCCCTTCAATCTACTACTGGGTAACACTCACGCATGACCCAAAGACCGAGAAGTCGGGACAGAGAGAGAAAGAGAGAGAGAAAAACCTGTTTACCAGAGGGGGAAAAAACAAACAAAACAAAACAAAAAGACAGCAGTACATAAAGTGCTTCTTTTTTAATGAAACAAATCAGAAAGATGTTCAGGCTCAAGTTGTGTAGTTCACGAGCACGGAGAAAATGCACGCACACACATACACACACCAACAGGCGCGGGGAGGCGGGGCTAACCCAGGACCAGGCTGGACTTGCCACCAGGAGGGTTTCTCCGGGATGGCACTGGGGCTGGCGCCACGGGGCTGGGCACGGGGGCGGCGGGCACCGGCTTCTCTTCACTCTGGGCCTGCAAATCTGCATCCGTGTTTTCTAGGAAGATGGAGCACAAGATCACCAACTCCATTCAGGGGAGGTCAGAGCTTGTTCGGGGACTCCCTGGCGGGTGTGGGTAAATCAGTCACACAGTGCCGTGATTGACCTGGGCTGGCCACATGCAAGCTAAGTGCCTTACCTCACCTGCTGTACTAACTCTCTGGAACCAAGAGATTAGTTTTTTGGACTACTCCTGGCTCACCTCGGTGGGTCAGTAGCATCAGCAGTGCTTGGGGGTCATGCGGTCCCGTGTGCTCCCACCCTCCCAAGCCGGCCTGGCCACAGAGTGAAACCCACCCTCAGCAGTCAGAGCTGGGATTTTTTAGTCACACTGGGCCCTGTACTCAGGAAGTACTCCTGGCTGTGTATGGGGAACCCTAGGGGATGCTGCTGGGGACCAAACCCATCTGCGTACAAGGCAGATGTCCTACCCACTGTACTGCCCTACCCAGGAGTGATCCCCACGTGCAGAGCCAGGTGAGCCTTGCCAGGTGTCCCTCCCACCCCCCAATAAATGCAGAGCTTTCCCTCATCCCTTATGACTTTTCCTTTTTCCAGTAGCAGGTCCCTAGCAATGTTCTAGGGGCTCAGGGGCCACTCCCTGAAATACTTGGTCCAGTGATGCAACGCTGCTAGGTGTGTGTGTGTGTGTGTGTGTACAGTCCATAGGCTCAGATAAGCAAGGTGTGTGGGGCCATAGTCGGCAGTGCTCAGGGGACACAGGAGACTGAAGCCGGGTGGGCAGTGTGCCAGGCAGCCTTGGGCCCAGCTGCACGATCTCCCTGGCCCTGAGCTGTGCTTTATAAGTGCCAGAGAGGGTTCCGGTATGCAAAGTATGTGCTGCAGCCTCTGCAGGATCTCAGGCCCTTGGCGATTTTTAGAAACCCCACCAGCCAGAAATTCTCATGGGATTAACTGGGGAAAACCATACGCGGCTGGAGTAGCACTACCCAAAACTCCAAATACTGCGGGGCTGATTCACTGATTGATTTGTAATATTTTTCACCAGCACATCCTGTGACTCAGAGGATTTATTTTTGTTGATTTGGGGACCACACCTGGTGGTTCTCAGGGCTCACTCTGGCTCTGTGCTGAGGGGTCACTCCTGGCATGGCTTGGGGGGTCCTATGGGGTGTCAGGGATCAAAGCCACGCGTGTACAGAGCAAGTGCCCTATCCTCTGTCCTATCCTCCTGGCTGCTATCAAAACTCATGTTTAAGCACATTGTTTCCAAAACTAGAAAAATCTTGAATTCAGTGTCAAAGGTGTGTGCAAAGTTGAATGAATTGTGAGGGGCTAGAGAGGCAGCACAGCGGAAAGCCTCTGCTATGCAAGTGGATGGCCCGGGCTCGATCCCTGGCACCTCCGAGGGCCTCCCAGCACTGCCAGGAGTGGTCACCCCCTGAACACCTCCAGGCATGCCCCTCCACACCAAAAAGAAAAAATGTTGTACAGGCCCAGATTGAACACACATGAAAATTCAAATTTTGAAAAAGAATTCTCAAACACTCAGTCGTAAAAGTTTGCATTCCTAAAACCAGTGTAGCAAGGTTTGAATTATCTAAGGCAAAAGGGGCCTTAAATGAGAAAAAACAGAATTTTTCTTTTGTTGGTCACACCCAGCGGTGCTCTGGGCTTACTTCTGGTTCTGAGCCAGGGGTCACTCCTGGCAGTGCTTGGGGGACTATATGGCCTGAACCCAGGTCAGCAGTGTACAAGGCAAACGCTCTCCCTGCTGTACTATCTCCTCAGCTCCTCCTGTGACTCATTACTGTACTGTATTGAGTATGGAACATTCTATCGAAGCAAGTAACGCTGCATGGATTGTGTCCAATGACCTATATTACACGATTAGTGTAATCTGTACTATTCAACTATGAGGAAAAAAATCTGGCAGGCAACTCTGCAATGTGACAACTCTCCTGCTCTACAAACAAAGGGAACCCAAGGCAGCCTGGGAGTGTCTCCCATCTCTTTACCGGAAAGGGGGAAGCTGAAGCATCAATATTAGCAACAATCTGTCTGTCTTAGCTGCCCTCCAAGGACCTCAGAAATCCATCCAGCTTCCTGCAGATAGAAGCAAAAGCCACTGGCAAAGGCAAAAGCAGGAAGCCAAGCAGTAGCACAGCAGGGAATGTGTGTGCCTTGCACACAGTGATCTGGGGTCATTCCCTGGCATCCCATATGATCCCTTGGGCATCACCAGGTGTGACACAAAAAGCCATAAATAAATAAATAAATAAATAAAAGAGGCAAAACCAAAACCCAGCCCAGACAGGCAAGACTGTCCCATGGGAAGGCGCCTGGTATGCAAGCGGCAGGCCTGGGTCCATCCCGGCCACACTGCAGGTCCCCTGAGCCCTACTAGGAGCCATCAATGAGCAGAACCTGGAGTCAGCCCTGAGCACAGGCTGAGTGTGGGACAGAAACAAACACAATCCCCCGGAAACAGAACCACAGGACAGACAAACAGGGAACAGGAATCAAGTCCTGACCTGTCTTTCCCATGCACCCACCAGGGAGGTAACCGTCAGCCAGGAAGGCAGTAATGAGCACGTTTACCCCACAGTGACCACACACGCTCCACGGTGGGGACTCACGCCCCCCCCCCCCCAAACTGCCTGCAGATGATGCTGACTTTTCCCACCAGCCCATCCATGGTCATTCTGGGCCAGAGAGGTAGCCCAGTAGGAAGGCACATCCCTAGCCATGTGCAATGTCCTGAGTTGGATCCTTGGCACTCCAAGGCTACCAGACCATGCCTGGGAACACCCCACAAACAAACAAACAAACAAAACACCCAAAACAAACAAAAAAATCCTTCAACTCTTTCTTTAGGATGGCAATAAGCAAAATGAACATTAAAGAACTTGCCTCACTCTAAGGACCAAATGGTGACAAGCAAGGCTCAGGGTGGGGCTTCCTGGGAGAGCCCTTGTATGCATGAGAAAAAAACAAAAGACAAGAAACACAGGCAGGAGTGACTGTACAGAGGGCATGGCGCTGGCCTTGCAGCTGGTCCAGGTTTAATGGTTGGCCCACACACAGACTCAAAAGCTCCTGGACAGCTGTAAACCTTCAGAACCATCTGAAGAGGAGTGAGCTGGCCACACAGTGCCGGGCGACAGTGACGAGAAAACTCTCTTCCTGGACACGCTGCTACCGGCCCAGATCCTAGGCACCCCACAGGGTCCCCGAATGCCAGGAGGAAGCCCAGGCACCACTGGGTGTTGCCCCCCATAAAAACAAAGAGAAGATTCTTCTCCCGCTGTAGCCCCCAACCATGCCCCCCGGAAATCGTGTCTGAGAGACGGCGGAAGCGGGAGGTGGGGCTGGGCCATGTGCCTTTCACTGAGACCACAGAACTGACAGGGGAAGGGAAGGGCCCCGTGAACCACAGGCTTCACCCCTAGACGGAGGCCGCACCCCACCCTCTGTACCCCTCCATTACCCACGTCAGCAGTGCCTCCCGCAGGTTAGAGAAGTGCCAATAAACACTTCAAAGAGGTAATGCAGTTAAGGAAATGATTATAGCTCAGCCTGCAGGTAATTGGTGATAGCTGCTAACTGAAGTCTGCATCTGCCCCAGCGTCATAATTTACACGATCACACGGTCCAAGATCTTGCTGAGGAAGCAACTCAGGAAAATCTGGGGGCCGGGGGAGACAGGACAGCTCGAGGCACTGGTCGTGCACCCCGAGCTGAGTCGCCAGCATCGCAGATGGTCACCACGCACTGCCAGAAAGTCCCAGATCCTGGGCACCCCACAGGGTCCCTGAACCTCATTGGGCACAGAGTCAGGAGTCCCCACGACCACTGCCAGGTGTGGCTCTAATGCCCCCCCGTCACCAAAAAATCCTCAAAAACCATGAACCAACTTGAGTGTAAATCACGAGAGGCTGTTCCTGGGATGAGCAAGAGCGGCTGGTGCTGCCCTGTAGGGGTGCCCTGGGGACCCTGAGCACACGGGCACTGTCACCAGCCTGCTGGCTCATCTTCTCTTCTCCCCTACCAGGAGTCACCCGCAGCCCCACACCTTCTCCCGAGACACACTGGAATCAGGGAAGCCCACAAAGCAGCAGAAATGAGGCACTGGATACTCACCGTGAACTTCACCTTCCCCCTGGGAGAGAGAAAGAGATGGTTACTTCAGAACGGAACTCCTAAGGGGCCAAGCCAGCGCAGGGGCTGGAGAGGGGGCAGGCGTGGAGTTACCCTCTATCTGAAACCCAAACACCCAGGCTGGTGCCCTCCTACCCATCAGCTTTTCAGAGCATATTTCTTTTTCTTTGGGGAAGGAGCAGACAGAGAAACAGGGAGCTAAATCCAGGCCTCCTGCGGGCGAAGCCTGTGCTCACCCTTGGGCCCTCTCTCTGGCCCTCAGGGGATCTTCTAGGGAAAGGAAACTGAGGACTAGAGTGAATTACGGCAGGTGAAGGCGCGTGCCTTGCACATGGCCAACCTGGGTTCAACCCCTGCACCCTGTGTGGTGCCCTGAGCCCTGTCAGTCGTGACCCTAAGTGCAGAGCCAGGAGTAAGCCCTAAGCATTGCTGGGTGTGCCCCCACCCCTGAAAAGAAGAATGGGGGAGCCAAGGACATGGCTCAGTGGCAGAGTACTTGCTCCACGAGTGCAAACCCCATCTTTCATCCCCAGCACTGTGCTCGATGGGTGCACAAATGTGCACACAAAAGAAAAAAAAGTGGGGGCAGGGGACAGTGCAGAAGCACAGCGGGCAGGGCGCTGGCCTTGGCACGCAGCCATGCTGGGATTGATCCGCGGCATCCCATATGCTCCTCAACCTCCCTCTGCCCAGCAGGAGTGATTCCTGAGCAGAGCCAGGAATAAGCCCTGAGCACTGCTGGGAGTGGCCCAGAAAACAAGGAAAAAAGAGGCTGGAGCGATAGTACAGCGGGTAGGGCGTTTGCCTTGCACGTGGCCGACCCAGGTTCGATCAGCAGCATCTCATATTGTCCCTTGAGCACCGCCAGGAGTAATGCCTGAGTGCAGAGCCAGGAGTAACCCCTGAGTACCGCCGGGTGTGACCCAAAAGCAAATAAATAAATAAATAAATGGAAAAACATAAAATAGGAGCTGGCAATTGGCACCGTGATCAGGATGCACGCGTGATAAGATGCATGTGTGATAGCATGCATGCAGGTGCCTGCCAGTGGGGCCCCCAGGCTCCTGAGCATCACCTGGGAGTCCATCCCCTATGTGAGCAAGGTAGCTAGTGCACGCTCTGCGCCTGGGGCCCAGACTCATCCCCAGAAGCCAGAGTCCCCTAGTCACAGAGGCACAAATGGCTCCAAGCACCAAAGTGGGGGCCCCTAGCAAAAAAAAAAAAAAAAAAAAAAAAAAAAAGAAGAGGCTCAGAGTCATAGCACAGCAGGTAGGGCGTTTGCTGTATATGCGGCTGACCCGGGTTTGATCCCCATATGGGGATGAGCACCACCAGAAGTAATTCCTGAGTGCAGAGCCAGGAGTAACCCCTGAGCACCACCAGCTGTGGCCCAAAAGACAAATAAATAAATAAATAAAAACCCTCCAGGAGAGATGCAGGAAGTGAGTGAGACCTGGAGCCTGGCACTGCCCTTATCTGATCGATTCTATTGACTGACCCTTACCTGTAAGCCTCCCAGTGTGCCCCCAGGCCGATGCCCCATGGAACCCTGGGCAGTCCTATCGCACTTGGGACCGCACTTGGGACCATGGGGTGGGGAGTGGGGGGGAGGGGGGTTCGAAGCTAAACCATGGACCCGAGCCTGTTGCTCCCCACGTGGGTGCTGACCTTCAGCTCCATGAAGTCTCCAGCGCTGGCTTCAGTTGCGCTGCGGGTCTGGGGTCCTGATGACTCCGCCTCTTCCCTGCCGCTGTTTGACTTGGCACCTGAAGCCAAACAGAGTGTGAGGACTGAGACAGAGACCCATGGAGGGCAGGGCGTAGCTGAGCGAGTCAGGCACTTGCGCTGCACATAACAGGCTCAGGGGTAACCCCAGCACCCCACACGGTCCCCCTGAACACAGAGCCAGGAATGAGCCCTGAGCATCACTGGGTGTGGCCCCAAACCCAACAACAGTTATAATAACAAAACCTCACCCTTAGTGGCTGACCCCTTAGGTGAGTGTCCTGGTGGGAACAAGGGGAGAAAAGGAGGTACGAGGGGCGGGACTCCCACTCCCACAGGGCATCACCATGACCCTCCGCACCCCTGGAACAGGACCCAGGTCTCACTCGCTTGCGCCACATCCCTGGCCTCCTGCCACTTGTTGTTTGTTCCCGAGCCCCACCCAGCCGCGGGCTTACTCGGGGAGCACTCAGGCGTCCCCAGGGGCCCAGCGCCCTCCCCGCTCCGATCGCCAAGAGGAGCTTTGGCTCATCCGCGCCCCACTGTCGCCCCCAAGCCCCGCACCACACGGTACCCGCGGACTTGGCCCAGGAAGGGGGGTTCTCCTCAGGGGTCCCGAAGATGCTGGAGGCCATCTTGTTCCTCCTCGCCGGCTGTTCTGTGGGTTCATCGAAGCCGAGAGAAAAATTGGAGCCGCCACCCGGAGGCCGCAAGACCCTAAAAATGGCAAAACATCCGTTTTAGATGGTCCCAAGATGGTCTGAGATGCTACCCCATCCCTCCCCTATGCGCATGCAAAAAGCAGGGAGGAGCTTGGGTGTGGAGAGAACAGGAGCAAACAAACAAACAGCTCCTAAGCCACAATGAGCTCAGGCGGCATCCCAAATGCACACACTCGGCCAAGTTCCCGGGAAGTCCTGAAGGGCAGAGACCTGAAATGGGACCGGACCCCGACACGTGTGTAGTGGTTCCACCTGTCTCACCACCCCCCTCCTCCCCACCAGGTCTGGCCTCCGAACTAGACCCCTGGGGGAAGTTGCTGCTGAGCCTCTCTGGTGACAAGGCACAGGACAAAGTCAGAGAGAGGTGGGCCGTGTGGTCTCTGGGCCCCCAGCGGTGCTTTGCTCAGCCAGGCCACCTCCCAGGACAAAGTCAAGCCCACTCAGCCTGTCACCACTCATGGCATGGGACACACGGCGGGCTTTTACGGAAAGGTTTTCCAAGGATGAATTCCGTCCCTTCAGTTGTGACAGGACGGGGCTTCCTTAAACCAGCTGGAGACGGAAGGGTCTCAGGTGTCAATCCGCCTTTCCCAAGCCTGCCCTCTGCTCGCTCAGCTCCTCTGAAAGGCGAGGCCCAAGTGAAACAAATCGTCTCCAGGCCCCCCTCGTTTGTTGTTGGGCCTCCCCGAACTGTGCTCCGGGGTCATTCCTGATGGGGCTTGGGGACCATCCACAGTGTGGGAGTCAAATAGGGGTCTGCCACGTGCAAGGCAAGTGCCTACCTGCTATACTACTGCTCTAGTATGTATCAGCCCCAGGAGCTGTTGAATGTGTTGTGCACAGAGGCCCTGGTTCCACCAGGCACTGCAGCTCCTGCACTCAGGAATCACTTCTGGTGGGGCTCGGGGGACCGTATGGGGTGCCGGGGATAGAACACAGTCATCTGCATGCCAGGCAAATGCCCTCCCCGCTGTACTGTAGCACTCTGGCCCTTGTAGGTCTCTTCTCACAGTACTTTAGTCTGGGAATATGTTCGGTCTGAGAGATGCATGAGGAGTGCCTAAGCAGTCTGCAAGGGATGCGCCCTAATGCTGAACTAACTCTTGAAGTAGCAGGAGAAAGTATGAAGTTGTGAGATGGTATGTATGTACATGTATAGTTGGTTTTGTTCTGCTGTTTTGGGGCCATATACCTGGTGATGCTCCGGGGTTACTCCTGTCTCTGCACTCAAGAATTACTCTTGGCAGTGCTCAGGGTCCCATATGAATGGCGGGGAGTGAACCTGGGTCGGCCAGGAGCCAGCCAAGTGCGCCCCCGCTGCTCTATCGCTCTGCCTCTCCCTACTCCGCCCTGCCTTGCCCAGGTTGTATTTCTGAAAAAAAGAACTTAGGGGTGAGGGGAAGTTTGGTCTACCTAGGATCGACCCTTGAGCCAGCCCTGAGCACAGCTGAGTGTGTACCCACCCTCATAAACCACCCCCCCAAATGAGCAGGAGCCCAAGAGCACCAGGATGCAACCTCCATCCCTCAGGAAAGTCTGTGGGGAGCACCACAGCCCCTGGGGTGAACACCAGTCCTGAGATCGGCCCCATCCACCAGTGAAAGGGGGAAGTTCAACCTCAATTGTTTCCTTGTTGGAGAGCTATAAAGCAGCCCATAAGCACAAATATGCAGGTTCCTATAAAGTTACCCTAGGCGGTGGAGAACAGCACAGTGGGGAGGGCATTTGCCTTGCATATGGTTGACCCAGGTTTGATCCCTGGCATCCCACAGGGTCCCTGTCATCATATCCTCCCCTCCCTCCCCCCTTGCCCACCAGCTAGGAGTGATTTCTGAGTGCAGAGCCAGGAGAAAACCCTGAGCACCAGCAGGGTGGTCCTGAAAAACAAAAAATAAAACAAATTGGAAGTAAGCTGGTAACCAGTAAGGTGTGGGTGGTAAGAAGGCCGGTTATCAAATGTACATCCACAACAGAAAACTGGGAGAATGCAACGTACTTCAAAAATTTTGTTTTGTTTGCCTGTTTTTGCTTTTTGGGTCACACCCAGCGATGCACAGGGGTTACTCCTGGCTCTGCACTCAGGAATTATCCCTGGCAGTGCTGGGGGACCATATGGGATGCTGGGAATCGAACCCAGGTTGGCCACGTGCAAGGCAAACATCCTCCCCGCTGTGCCATCGCTCCAGCCCCTTGTTTTTGTTTTGGAGGGTTACTCAGGGCTTACTCCTGGCAAGGCTCTGGGTATGCTGCGGATCAAACCTGGCTGTGTTCAAGGCAACTCCGTACCCGCTGCCCTCTCTCCAGCCCTTCAAGTGCGAATTCTTGCTGTTTTTCCAACTTGGTTCCGCACAGCTCAGTGCTCAGAATGGGACTGGCAGGGTTCAAGGCAGGCACCTTATCTAGGTGCTGGATCGCCAGGGTTGAGCTTTTATTGAGTCAACCTTGTTCCTCCCTCACATAGCTGGGCAGGGCGGGGTCTGCCCCTCAGGTAGTAGTTTGCTAGACTCTGCCTGCTCCTTCTGGTTCAACAGCTCTTTAATTCTGAGGTGGGGGGAGGTAGGTTCCACACCCTCCGGGCCCACCTCAGGGCTGGTGTGGAGTACTGCTTTTGTCTTGGACTCCTGGACACAGACAACCCCATTCCATTTGGGCGTTCCATATGGTACCCCAGCACCAACAGGGTGAATTCCTGAGTGTAGGGCCAAGAAAAACCCATAGCAGCTCTGTGTGGCCCTCAATCCCAAACCAAACCCAACCAAAAGCTCTGGGGCCAGCCACGTGCAAGGTCTTTTTTTTTTTTGGGGGGGGGGGGGTCACACCCAGCGATGCTCAGGGTTACTTTTGGCTCTGCACTCAAGAATCACTCCTGGCGGTGCTGGGGACCATATGGGATGCGGGGGATCAAACCCGGGTCTGCCACTTGCAAGGCAAACACCCTCCCTGCTGTAGTATTGCTCCAGCCCCCCATACGATTTTTATAGCCCAACAAGTCTAATATTTTTTTTTCTTTTTGGGTCACACTCGGCGATGCACAGAAGTTACTCCTGGCTCTGCACTCAGGAATTACCCCTGGCGGTGCTCAGGGACCATATGGGATGCTTGGAATTAAACCCAGGTGAGCCACATGCAAGGCAAACGCTCTACCCGCTGTGCTATCACTCCAGCCCCAAGTCTATATTTTTACTTTTGGGTCACACCCCGCGATGCACAGGGGTTACCCCTGGCTCTTCACTCAGGAATTACTCCTGGCAGTGCTTGGGGGACCATATGGGATGCTGGGAATCAAGTCCAGCTCAACTGTGTGCAAGGCAAACGCCCTATCTGCTATGCTATCGCTCCAGCCCCCTCAAGTCTAATTTTTTAAAAGAGTAAATCCAGACACTGAAAAAACAAGTGATCCAAACGTCAACAACCAAACCCCGCTGGTCAACTAGACCAACGCATTACAAACTTTCAGTGTTTTACAGCTTCGACTATGTTTTCAGTTTTTAGAAGGCAAACTTTAAAGAAAAAAAAAAATAAGAGCAAAGCCAGAAACATATGTTCTGACCAACTTTAGGTGAAGTGACAGAGACGGGACTGGAGAGCAAACCCATCCCGGCCGGTGGTGCACGTGCCCTTCTCATTAAGCTTCATTTCATGAGAGATTTAGACCATTTTATTCTTCTCATAGTGCCACCTACAGACTCCCTGAACCTCGGAGCAGGATCTGTCAACAGTAAAGAGAAATTCCATTCTTTCTGCTGTGGGGCAGGGTGAAGACCCACCGCTGTTTTACTGGGGGGTGTGGGGCCGTGTCGGGCTGCTGGGCACTGAATCGGGCCTCCTGCGCAGAGCAAGCACTCCCGCCCGGCCCTGAGTGCAGCACCCTGCCTCCCCTCACCATTTTGATATTTAAAAAACTAATAATCATCCACTGTTGGGAATTTGACACAAGTGTGTGTGTGTGTGTGGGGGGGGGGATACAGAAGGGACCACTAAGACAAAAAAAGCTGGAAATGACCACTCTTGAGCAAGAACTGAAAGAGGGGAACCTTTCAGTATTGCAGTCCTGCCAAAAAGGGGGGAGGGGGAGGGCAGAAAGGGAGGCGAGGGGAGGGAAGAGGGAGAGTGGAGATGGAGGGGGAGAGGGAGAGGGACAGACAGACAGAGACAGAGAAGGAATGTGCCTGTTGTAGAGGTCTGGGTGGGGTCAGGAGGGACTCTGGGGACATTGGTGGTGGAAATGCATACTGGTGAAGAGCGGGTCTTGGAACACTGTATGAATGAATCCCAATATGAACAACTTTGTAACTGTGTATCTCACAAAAACTGTGATTCAATTAAAAAAATTAAAAAATATTATGCTTTGGGCTGGAGGCTAGCACAGCTGGAGGGTGTTTGCCTTGACAGAGGCCAACCTGGGTTCAATTCCTGGCATCCCACGTGGTCCCTTGAGCACCACCAGGCGTAATTTCTAACTGCAGAGCCAGGAGTAAGCCCTGAGCATTACTGAGTATGGCCCCCAAACAATAAAAAATTTGGTTGGAAGCTATACAGTACAGCAGGTAAGGGGCTCCTCTCGCACAGTCCACGGTTAACAAGGTTCCATCCCTGGCACCCCATATGATCCCCTGAGCCACCAAGAGTGATCCTTGAACACTACCTGGTGTGTCTCAGAAACAAAGAGTAAAGAAAAGAAAAACCCTTAAACCCTCCGGTTCTGGATATTAAATATCCATATCCACTTAGATTAAATGCAGTCTGAAATAAGATAAATGTGTTCAAGAGGACATTTTATAGAGCTGATAATTGCAGGTTTGGTGAAACGAGTTAAATCATAATTAAAGGTGCACTATAAATTATTAATGGGCTTTCTCTCATGTTCAAGTTGGAAAGAGATGTTTTAAAAACCATTACGAATGGTACCCCACATCAACAGACACCCTGATAAATGATGGGCTTCACTATCTGCCCCTTTGGCTCCGGGAGGACAGAACGACTTTTCCTACCAATCATAATTAAAATCCTCACAGTCTAGCTAGATGAAAAGTCTCCAGAGCCTAACTGGCCAGGAGGGAGATTTTGTTGTTAAAAAAAATAATAATAATTAAAAAATAAAATGAATAAAGACGCTTGCACCCAAACACCAGCTTGAACTAGCTTCAACTTCTGAAGGTCTGAGTTCTCCAAGCGTGGCAGGTGAGATCTAGTGGGATGACGTCACTGCTGTGGAGACATCCCCAAACAAAGGATCTGGATCCAAAGCCAGAAAGCGGTTTGATTTCTTCTGACGCCCCCATCCATTCTTCCTCATCTAGCCACATGGTAACTAAACCAGGGTTCTCTATTTGAGATTTCACCAAAATGTGTCTATTGGCAGAGCACAGCAATTTCTCAAAAGACTTTTCCTGGCTCCGTTTAAAGCCCAGAGCGGGCCTGGGATCTCTGCCCATCGTGGACGCCCCTGGACATGTGCTTAAGGCCAGGAGCATTAGGAGAATCAGGTGAGATTAGAGAAGGAATGGTAGGAAGTTCTAAAACATCAAATAAAAAAAGACGATGCCAGAGAAACAGCCTGGCAAAAAGTCAAACAACGATTTTGATGATTTCAAAGAAGCAACCGTTTGGAATGAACATGAGCAATACAGTTGCTGGTCAAATTCTTCACTAAGTGCTCACAGCTCTCGCTGGGAAGCATAAAACCTCCTAAATTTTATTCATCAGCATTTCAACCACTGTCGTGGGGCAAAAAGTTGACCTCAGAGCTCAAAATTCAAACACCAAGGTTCAATCTGTTGCAGTGTGTGTGTGTGTGTTTGTGTGTGTGTGTGTGTGCCCGCGCGCGCCTGTGCCTGCCAGGATGACAAGAGAGGCTGGAGGGAGTGTCCAGCACCCCGCCCCTGGACTCCGGCTCCTCATGCGGCCAGCAGCCCCTCTGCTGCTTCAGACCGCAGCAGACCTTCCGGGGCGACAGGAAGACAATGAGTGACACCAAGTCCCCGCCCGGCTCCCCAGCCTGGGGAGGCCTGCTTTGTGTCCCCAACTTCCCCCGCCTGCCACACCGCTATTTCTGCGCCTGCCTGCCTAGCCCCACAAAATGGCTCCCTTTGTGCCACTGGTCCAGGACCCCCACGCTGGCCCCCGGACCGCCAGGGCTGAGCACGAGGCGGCGGAGATGCCAGGCGCAGTGGGCGCCGGGCTCCCTCGGGCGGCTCCCCGCCCGCGCCCCACTCACTTCCCACGGGGGGCTCGTCGGCCGAGACAATGTGGGCCCCCTCCCACGGCCGCCGGCCCCGCGCCAAGTTGGAGGGGCGCGTGGCACGGGGACCCCCGCGGCGCCCGGGGACCCAGAGCCCCTGCGCCGGCCCGCGGCGGCCTGCAGACAATGGACGAGCCGGCCCCGCCCAGACCCGCGCCCCGGACGGACGTCCAGGGGACGGCGCGGACGGCCACGCGCAGGGACCGCGGCCGTGGGCGCCGAGACCCGCTCGGGCCGGGCGCGGAGGCAGCGCCGGGGGCTTTCCTTTGTTAGCGGCGGGCAGGCACTTTCGGGGCGGGCGGGACGCGGGTGGGCGCGGGGGACACGCGAGGCGCGGCCCCGCCCCGGCCACCTGCCGGGCGAGCCGCGTGGGGGGGCGGCCGCGGGCGACCCCCGCGCCTCCGCCCGCGGGGTCCGAGCGGGCGGCGGGGGCCCCGGGCCGGGACAGTGAGGCCCGACCCGAGAGTTCCCCTCACCCCCTCCCCCCCCCCCCCCCCCCGGCAGCCCCGCGCCCCGGACCACCGCCCCGTCCCGCCCCCGCCCCCGGGCGAGCGGCGCCGACCCTCCCCGGCCCCGCACGGCCCGGGGCGCTGAATGGGAGGGTCTGCGGGGATCGGGCGGGGCCCGCGCGCACAAAGGCGGTCCCGCAGACCCGGCCTGCCGCCCCCGACGGCGCGAGCGCCGCGCCCCGAGCGTGCTGCCCAACGAACGGCCCCCAGCGGCCGGGCCCGCCGGGCAGCGGCTGTCGCGACCCCGAGCGGCGCGTGGCGCGGGCGCGGCCCGGCCGCCTCACCGGGAGCTGTTCCTGCTGTTGGGGTCCACGCCCTTAAATGTAGTAGTGGTCGTCATGGCGCCGGGGAGCGAGGTAGGCTGACGGGGGAGACGAGCGCGCAGAGGGTCGGTCCGAGGGGCGCGGAGCAGCTGGCGAGCCGCAGCCAGCGACCGCTGCAGGAGCCCGTGCCACTGCCGGCGCGGGTGGCCGCCGTCTTTTATAGTGCCCTCGAGCCCCGCCCCTACCGCGTCAGCATTGGCCAGTTTAAACGGCTCTCCTCGTTCCTATTGGTCGGCTGGGATGTCAAGCAGAGGCCGGGGTCGGCACCGGCGGCGAGGACAGTGTCGGTCTCGGCCCGCCCCTTTCCTGGCCCTGGAGGACCTACTAGGTAAGTTCCCCTTCCCCCCGAGCCCAGATCTCGAAAATGATTGGGCAAAGGACACAGCTGCCCTGACTAGTGCTCGCTGTCACTTCTCCGAAGTTTCCTGACAATGGGAAAAGCTGGAGTGCACCAATTCAGGGCGCAGTCGCAGTCGCTGTTACCTATCATGACACGTTGACACTTAGCAATTTTATTTCCACTCCCGGAGGGTCTCCCGCATCGAACCCATGGACCGTGCACATGCATGGCCCATGCTACCTAACCACGGGGGGCGCCGTTTGGAAACCGGACAGAGTCAAAGCAAAACCAAGGAGCCGGCCAAGATGATCCCTTAAAGGGCTGGGGATTCTTGACGCGTTAATGTTCTTATTCGACTGTAATGGGTGGTGCATGCACAAGCTCAAAATGACAGTCCTTAGGGTTTGAGGGCTTGTTCTAAGGTTAGTTAATTCCCTGTGGGGAACGGCCGCATCCCTCACTACCAGACTATGTGAGCAGCTGTTTATAACCCCTAAGTCACCCTCTTACACCTGTCTGGGTAAATCTATCTCTGCAACAAATGTAGACACAATTGCCAGCTCAGGAATGGCCATTTAGAAGATCATAATAGCAAAGTCTGGCGTGAACAAGAGTAGAAAGTCTTCTCAAGTCACACACTTCTCCAAGGCAAGCTTCTTTTTCAGAATTTCCATAAACACAACTACATTTCTCCTTAAAGGGCTTCCTCCTTGCAGCAGTCTGAAGCTGGGATTGGTTTTTGATCCTCTGCGCTTTCATGAAAACGCAGAGGAAAGTTCTCTTCCTGAGGGTTTTTTTTTTCTTTTTGGGTCACACCCAACGATGCTCAGGGGTTTCTCCTGGCTCTGAACTCGGAAATTACTCTTGATGGTGCTAGGGATAAAATTAAGGCAAACACCTTCCCCACTGGACTATCTTCTCTTTCTCCTTACCACAAAAAAAAAAAGGCATGAAGTTTTTTGGTTTTCTTTGGAGGGTAAGGGGTGGAGAGGAGAGGGGCCACACCCAGCTGTGCTCTGGGCTTACTTCTGGCTGTGCACGCAAGAATCCTTCCAGGCAGGGCTGGGAACCAGAATCAGCGGTGCCCAGATCAGACCTGGGTCCATGGGGACAAAGCTAGTGTCTGAACTGCTAGACCCTGCTAGGATCTCAGATCTTTTCTTTTGTTCTTAATGGCTAAGCCTAGATTTCCAAAACCTCAGACAAAAAAATTCCTTTGGGAGCTGGAGTACAGCGAGTAAGGTGTTTACCTTGCATGCGGTTCACCTGGGCTCAATCCCTGGCTCCCCATATGGTCCCTCAAACCCTCCAGGAGTGATCCCTGAGTGCAGAGCCAGGAGTAAACCCGGAGCAACACAGGGTGTGGCCCCAAAACACCCCCCAAAAAAGTGCCAGAGATATAGTACATCAGGTAAGGCATGTGCTTTGCATGCCGCTGATCCAGATTCAATCCCCAGCACTCCGTGTAGTCTAGAGCCCACTGAATTAGCACTGCTGGGTGTGGTTAAAAAAAAAAACACTACAAAAAAAAAAAACACAACAAAATTCCTTTGGGCTAATCTAATCAGTAAGCACACATGACCTCCTCAGGAATCACATATCAGCCAGGAAATGCTGGCATAGGGTGACCATGTGAGGCTCTAAGGGGAGAAATGCGGCTTTCGAGTTTTCTGAGTGACCGTAATGGTACAAATCCAGGGCCAGGGCTGTATAGACACGCCAGCAGCTCAGGTTCAATGCCCCATACCAATAAGGTTCCCTAGCAGCTGCTAGGAAACAGCCCCCCACACCAAAGTGACTCAAAAGCCCAACAAGGGGATCTAGAGAGATAAACAGAGGGCCTTTGGTCATGTCTCCAATGCAGCCACCCCGTTAAGTCCCACATAGGCCCTTGAGTCCCACCCTCACGAGGCCTCACATTGACCTTCAATCCTGGTAGTCCAGACACTCATACCTCCCTGCCCCGAGCATTGTTTGAGAGCACCCCACCCTGCTGCTAATCTAGACTCCAGATTCAAATTCAGTCATGGATGTTAAGTGTGTGGTGTTTTGGTGTGACATTGAAGTCACCCAAGTTTTAGTCATGTGAATTGTTTTGAGGGCCACACTCAGTGATGCTCGGGATTACTCCTGCCTCTGCACTCAGGAGTTATTCCCAGCAGTGCATGGGGGGTCACATGGGAAGTGGGGATTGAACTCAGGTAAGCTGCTTGTAAGGCAAATACCCTACATGCTGTACTATCACTTTAGGCCCAGTAATTACATACTTTTACAGAAGCCAGAGTGATAGTACAGTGGGTAGGGAGCTTGCCTTGCATGTGGCCGACCCCATTTCAGTCCCCAGCATCCTATATGGTCCCCTGATCCCACTCCAAGTAACCGAGTGCAGAGCCAGGAGCCTTAGCTCCTGGCACCACTGGGTATCACTGTATCACTGTCATCCCACTCATCATGGAATTACTCGTGTGGGCGCAAGTAACATCTCTATTCCTTCGAGTCCCAAGATTTTAGCAGCCTCTTCTTACTCGTCTTTTCCCTATGATTGGAAGCTCTTTCAGGGTCAGGGGAATGAGACTTATTGTCGTTACTGTATTTGGCATATCGAATACGCCACAGGGAGCTTGCAAGGCTCTGTCCATGCGGGCAGGATACTCTTGGTAGCTTGCTGGGATCTCCATGAGGCATAAATGGGTAGGAAATGTCTTATGTGACTGGAAAGTGGCCTGGAGCATGGCGGTGGTTGGACAGTGGAGGTTGGCTGCCAGGGCTGGGTCCCTTGGGGTGGGGAGGGACAGTCTGGTAGTATGATTCTGGGAGCCTCCTTTTATACTCCCATCTGGGAGGAGCATCAATGAGTTCTGGAGGGTGGCTGATGAGATTATCTGGTGCCCGCAGGGTGTGGCTTCTTATGGGTATGATCCCTGAGTTGCCAGAGACTGGGGGAAGCAGGCAGAGGATCTCTGTTCTGTCCTGTTGAGTCCAGAGTTCAAGGTCACAAAGTTACGCATTATCTGGGTTCTGTGAGACTTTATTCTTGCATGATGCTCGGCTTGAGCATCTGGAAAGCAGCCTGGAGTGTGGCGGTGGTTGGGCAGCTGCCAGGGCTGGATCCTTTGGGGTGGGGAGGACTCTCACCCACCCCACAGCCTGGCCACTGGGTGTGGCCCCAAATTTAAAACCACCCACAAAGGCTCTGAAATCCTATTTTGTATGTTAAGAGGTCTGCCTGTCTTACTTTCCCCAAGCCTGCGGCCTAGCAGTGTTGGAGAGTTGAGTGGACCGAGGGCTTGGCTACATGCTGCCCCAAAGGCAGCACTGGTCAGCTTTCTCCCGCTGCTTGAGCTGTGAGGCCAAGAACAAAATAACGATAAGAATGTTGTATCTGGTAAACAAACTAGAGGGGTCGGCAGGCCTGAACATCAGAATACCCTATCAGTTTTTAAGTAGGAAAGAATGCCAGGCCCTGTCTGGAATGTTCTGGACTGGAATTTTTGGAGGTATGATCCAGTCATGAATAGCTTTAAAAGTTAGACGGGTGTGTCTGTTAGGGCGCTTGCCTTGCACACAGCTGATCTGGGTCTAATCCCCGACTCCCATATGGTCCTCTTGTGCCCCAGGAGTGATCTGGATCATGCTTTGCACTCCAGTACATGCCCCCCACCAATTACAAGGCGCACCTCTGGAGGCTCCCAAATCCCCACCACCTCCAGGTCCGAGCTGCAGCACATCCTTTGGTCTTTGCACCCAGCAGTGCTCAGGGGCCACTCCTGAAAGACACCCTAGAAGGGGACTAGAAGGGGTACCAAGGATAAAATTCAGGTGAATCACTTGTAAGATGCCTTACCCACAGTCCTATCTCTCCGCCTGTTTTGAGACTTAATTATTTCATTACATTGCTAAGCATGGTGAATATGGCCATCCCCATAGGCCAGTATCACAATTAAACTAACATTTACACACGTGACCTGGATTACCTCAAAGTCAAATTAAGTATGCATCTAGAGCTGGAGAGATAAGCACAGCGATTAGGGTGTCTGCCTTGCATGCAGCCGACCCAGGTTCCCCAGGTTCGATTCCCAGCATACCATATGGTCCCCTGAGCACCACCAGAAATAATTCCTGAGTGCAGAGCCAGGAATAACCCCTGAATATCGTTGGGTGTGACCCAAAAAGTACATACACACAAAAAAAATTAAGTATGCATCTGTCCGGGTTATATCACTGCACTGCAAAAAGGCAGATCACTGTCACTGAGGCACTGCTCAAAAACTCCTGTATTTTTTTCCTTTAATTTTATTTTTTATACTGGTGCCACATCTAGTGATGCTCAGAGATTACTCCTGGCTGTGCATGGGGACAGTATGAAATGCCAGGTCATCGAATCTGGGTCAGCTGCAAGCAAGGCAAGTGCCCTACTCGGGCCCAAGGATTCCTTTTCTCTTAGGACTTATCTGTCTCTGAGGTTGAGGACATAGCTCCACAGGGGTGGCAAGGTAGAATGCAAAGCACCTGGTGCAATCCCAGCTACCACGTGTACCCCAGGTCTTGTAAGCATTACCTTGCCGTGCCCTAGCACTGAACCCACAACTGAGCCAAATGCTGCCAGGAATGCACCTCAGGCCTGAGGAATACTGGGAAGCACTCCCCATCCCAAACATAAACATATGAATGCAAAACCAAGAGTATGGTTAAGTGATGGAGGAGGTGCCTTGACATGTGAGGCCCTGGATTTGATTCCTGGCACCATACTAAAAACTAGCGAAGAAAAATTCTATCACGTGACAATTCTTAGACTTAAAAACTAACAGGGGGATGGGGTGGGTCAGAGTGATAGTATAGCAGATCAGGTGCTCACCTTGCACACAGCTAACCCAGGTTCGATCCCTGACATCCCATATGCTTCTTGAAGCACGGCCAGGAATGATTCCTGAATGCAGAGCCAGGAGTACCCCCTGAGCACTGCCAGGTGCAACCCAAAACCAAAGCAAAAAAAAAAAAGGTGGGGCGGGGATGGGTATCAGAGATAGTACAGAGAGTATAAGGGTTAAGTCATATGCCCTGCACACAGCCAATAATTGCACCAGTCACGTGAGCACCTTCAGGAGTGAATCCCCAAGCACAGGGTCCCTGAGCACTGCTGGGTGTTGTCCAAAACTGCCCTTCCTCCCCTGCAGACGAACAGAAATCAGGTTAATCTTAAAAATTACACACTGAGCCAAGTATCAATATGCTACAATGTACTATGGCAGAGCTCTTTCCACACCTTTGTCTCTGTCTTTAACAATTCCAAGTTTTCCTATAAAGTAACTGGCAAATGCTCAGATGACGTTAGTTAATTCCTCTAACTTGCATGGTTAGAGAAAATCAAATTTAAGTTCAAAATCAAGTTCTCAGGCTTGTTTTTCAATACTAAATTTTGGACATCGCAAAATTCCATTATTAATAGTATCTAAAGTAATTAAGAGGTGGAAGGAGAGTATAGTCAACTAGAGCACATGCGTCCATGCAAGAAGTCCAGGTTAGATCCCTGACACCATGTTCGACTTTGAGCATCACCAGATATGGCCCCAAAACAGAGAAATGTACTTATCTGATCTCATCAAGGAATTCTGCAGGAGTCCCACTTTTGCTTATAAATTATGGAAATAAATTGGTAATGCTATATCCACAGGAAAATAAAAGTTCAGTTGATTCAAAAAATTCAGAGCAGCCTGGGAGAGAGTACAAAGGGTAGGGAGCTTGCCTTGCACATACCTGACCCTGGTTCAATCCCAGCACCCCACAGGGTCTCTTGAACCCTGCCATAAGTGATTCCTGAAGACAGAGCCAGGAGTAAGCTCTGAGAACTATAAGGTGTGGCAAAAAGAAATTAATTAAAAAACCAGGTATCTTAAGGCAAAATTCAAAGGACTCCTGCTTTCTTTGAGGAAGCTCATTCACCAGACTAGTCAGTATGTTAAGAACAAAACCAAAAAACACTGGACTGGAGAGATAGTAAAGTGGGTAGAGTACTTGCCTTGCACGCAGCCAACCCCAACTTGATTCCTGGCACCCAATATGGTCCCCCAAGCCCAGTAGAGGTAATTCCTGAGTAGAGCCAGAAGTAACCCCTGAGCTTTGCAGAGTGTGCCTCCCCGCCACCAAAAAAAACAAAAACAAAAAAAAACCCAACCATATTGCAACAAAGGAAGTGAATTAATAAAGCATATTGGTAGTGAATTGACAAAGTGTAACAGTTCATCAGTCAAAATGATAAAATGATGTAAGAGGGGCTGGAGTGATGGCACAGCGAGTAGGGCGTTTGCCTTGCACGCTGCTGATCCAGGTTTGATTCCTAGCATCCCATATGGTCCCCCAAGCACCGCCAGGAGTAATTCCTGTGCATCGCTGGATATGACCCAAAAAGAAAAAAAAAAAAAAGATGTTAAGAGGGCCCCGAGCAGGACTACAGCAGTTAGGGCGTTTGCCTTGCACACGGCTGACCTGGGTTTAATCCTTGGCATCCCATACAGTCCCCCGAGCACCGCCAGGAATACCTGAGTCACTGCCAAGTATGATACAATTTTTTTCTAAAATCCTTAAGAAAAATCTAAGTGGGATTTGGTTTCTTCGACATTGAAGAATACCACAGATACCTGCTTCCTCATCTCGGATTAAAATCCCATCATCTTCATCTTTCCCGCTCCAGTATTCCACTTACTGGTGCTATTACTGTGACCCTTCCCCACACCTCTGTATTTTTCTAAACTAGGGCCATTCCTACAGCACTCCAGGCCTGACAGACCAACTCTGCTGGTGCCAGTGGCTCATAGGCCAAGGGAGGAGAGTGCATGGGCCGTAAGGGACCACAAATGGGGCCTGACTATGCTTGGCATGTTTACTGCTTGAATTGTCTCCACCATCCCAATATATACAGTAATTTTAAAATGCTAGTGGCCTGTATATATTTAATACTGTGAAAACACATGTAGCATTTGTATTATTTCAGTTTTTGGCCACTCAGTGATGCTCAGGGGACCCTAGGGGATGCTGGGCATCGAACCTGAGTTGGCCTTGTGCAAGGCAAACACCCTACCTGATATACTATCAACTCCGGCCCCAGTAATATTTTCTAACCTAAAATTAAAATGTTTCTGGGGCTGGAGCGGTAGGTAGCGCAGCAGGTAGGGTATTTGCCTTGCACGCAGCCAACCCAGGAATAATTCGAGTGCAGGAGTAACCCTGTGCATTGCCAGGTGTGACCCAAGAACAAAAAATAAATAAAATTAAATAAAATGCTTCATAGAAGTTAGGGAGTATGAACTGGTCAAATGGTTAGATTTTCAATAGGGTTGGTAAAATTACCTTTCCCAAATTCCACGTTTTACCCCATTGTACCTCAAACAGTGATTATAGAAAAGTGTAAGGAGTTAAGTCCGCAAGAAAATATATTCAAAACATTATGACCCAGTTTCCTTTTGCAAATCAAGCTGCACATTTGGAACTGCCTAAGCTTTGTGAACAAAGAGGCCTTGCTTCTTCCTTGAAATGTTACTTCTGCTTCTTCCTTAAAATGTTACTTTTAGCAGACCTATCCTTGTCATTTCCCCCCCACTAAACTTCAACTTTCTTAGTATTTCTCAGAATAAAGAAAACAGCTCATTTTAAACAAGAAGTTTATTTAAACAACAAGACGCTTGACTTGAAGGGAAAACTATCTAGGATTCATTTCTTTTAGAGTAATTTATCCCTACTTAAAGACAGATTGCCCTACATGTAACAGCTACGTACAAAAAAGTTATAAAATTGTCCTTGGTTTTACAATGATAAATGAAAAACATTAAAATTCTCCAATCAAACAAGGTATGCAAGAATTTTTATGTTGTTCTTTTTTTGTTAAACATTGAGAGCAAAATAACTTACTGGAATATAAAGATAAGAGCTGAATGAGCATGCCACTAATGGAGAAAGGGGGTATTTTCACAGAACCAATATTTTTTCCCCATCCCATCTCCATCTGATGTCAATCAAAACATACCATTGGCCATTTAGTTAAAAAAAAAAATGCAATGCTTGTGCACATACACCAGTTACTTTATGTACAATAAAGGAATGGGGAAGGGGAGAATGAAAGAATAGAGAAAACTATACTGTAGTAGTCAGGATGTGGTGGAACCAAATTGCGGTTTTCGAATTGCGAATGTCTTCCTGGTCTGGAGGAGCTGAGTTCTGGAGGAGAGTCGTGGGCTCTGTTAGTAGACACCTCCTGTCTGCTGCTGGAACACATCAATTGTATCTTCATCCTCCATTTCCAACTGCGTGAAAGAGAACAAAGGTGAAGAGCCCGGACTATTGGGCATTATACACGAGATCACTATGTTAAATTTTTTCTGGTTTTCCTCATTCAGGGGAGGGCCACTCTTAGCTTATGACTGAACCCAGGGCCTTCCATGCATGGTATATGCAGGCTCTGTAATTCGAACGTCCCTAGCACCCTCACTAAGAAATGACTCCATCTAAGGGGCCAGAGTTGATAATACAGCAGGTAAGGTGCTTGCCTTCTAACTCTGGCATCTAATATACCCAACAAACAAATCCCCCACCCCACAAAACAGACAAAGGAATATTTCAAGGGCCAGAAAACAAGAACTCAATAGAAGCTCGTGCTTTGCATGCAGGTCACCTGCATCACATGGTCCCTCAATCAACGCAGGGAGCATCCTCTGTGTAGAGCAGTAGGTGTCCCCAACCACCACCAGGTATAGCCGCGAATAATCAAGGTTCTCCCACCACTCCACTACTTTTGTGCTCGGGATGTACTCAAGAGCTCCCACAAACAAAGCATGAGCACAGGTCCTTGAAGTCATTCTCGTGGCCCTCATTCTATGTATTTTTTGAGATTCGGAATGGCAAGTTAGAAGTTAAAAAGCTGAGTATGCCTTCAAAGGATAAACAAGCTTTTATTCTCATTTGTGAAAAGAATTCAGCTCCTCCTTGTGGCTATTGAGGGAGTTGCTGCTTTTCTTCCTTTTCTTTGGCCTCCCCATTAATCCCAACAGGTCAGTTATATCTCTGGGAAGCATAATAGGGCCTCACTCAAGGTGTAAGTTCCAGGCATTTGAATTTTCTTCCAAGGTCTGTAATTTTTCCTTTGGATTTTGGGACACACAAGGAGATGCTCATGGTTCATTCCTGTCTCTGTACTCGGGGATCTCTCGACAGGCTCATGAAACCATATGGGGGTGCTGGGGATAACCCTGGATTGACTGTGTATAAGGCCAATACCCAATCCACTGGCCCCTCAAAGTCTACAATTTTTTTCTTTTCTGTTTTGTTTTTGGTTTGGGGCCATACCCGACAATGCTCAGGTTACTACTGGCTCTGCACTCCAGAATTACTCCTGGTGGTGCTTGGGGATCGTACGGTCAGCTGATGATTGAGGTTGACCTTGGGAAAGGCAAACACCCTCCCCTATTTCTCTGGCTCCTCAAAGTCTGTAATTTCTTAAGAGAAATTCAAAGGTGACTTCTTCAAAATAATCTTTCAAGTATAATTCAGACATAAAAAATTTGTTCTAAAACACCCCTCCCAAGATTAAGTACATCTAAGACCAAAACAATGACCATGAAAAAAAGAACTCACAGCCAGGTTTACAAAGGAACAGAACTCATATGATAAGAAGTGATTAAGGCATCAGACAGGTTTCAATTTTGCATAGTTGATTTTAGAAAGCTGCCTGTTCAGTTCAGCTATCAAGACTCTTGTTACAGGGCCAGAGATAGCACAGCGGAGCGATAGTATAGCTGGTAGGGCGCTTGCCTTACACGTGGTCAACCTGGGTTCCATCTCCGGCACCTTATATGGTCCAGAGACCCTTCAGGAGTGATCCCTGAGTGCAGAGCTACGAATAAGCCCCGAGCACCATCACGTGTCCTCCCCAAACCAAAACCTCAGAGCAAGAGGGTTAGAGTAAACCGAGTAAGGCACTTGGTCTGATGTGGCCAATCCAGGTTCAAACTCTGGTATCCCATATGGTCCCCTAAGGCCACCAAAAGTAATTCCTGAGTACAGAGCCAGGAGCTACCCCCTGAGCACCAAGGGGCGTGGCTCCTCCCCCACATACACCCAAAAATAAACCCCAGATCATCACAGGGTTTCTCTAGAGTGGAAATAAGCAGAGAAAAGAAATACGCGTCGAATAAAGAACACAGGCTTGAAAAGTGTGCAAGCTGGGGCTGGAGAGACAGTAGAGGGTAGGGTGCCTGCCTTGCACACTGCCCACCAGGGTTCAATCCCTGGCATGCCATGCAGGCATGGTCCCCCAAGCCCTCTGATAGTGATTCCTTCTTTTGTTTTTTTTGGGCCACACCCAAAATGCTCAGGGGAACATATGGGATGCCAGTGACTGAACCCAGTGCAAGGCAAAATGTCCTACCCACTGTACAGTCTCTCTGGTCCCTGACTGGGAATGATTCCTGAAGTGCAAAGCCCGGAATAAACCCCTGAGTATTGCCAGGTGTGGCCCAGAAAAAAAGCAAAAGAAAAGCAAACAAGCAAGCCAGATACTAGAGTTCTTAATTATTATTCTCTAATAATAGTAATAGGTTGGGGGGAACGAAACAGGGCAACTAATGATTAGCTTTACTGAGTGATAGCCAAATTATTTCAAAACTGTTGGCATTCTGGGGCTGGAGATAGTACAGTAGGTAGGATGTTTACCTTGCACACAGGTGACCTGGGTTTGATCCCCAGCATCCCAGATAGTCCCCCAAGCACAGCCAGGAGTGATTCCTGAATACAGAGCCAGGAGCAACCATTTGGGCACTGCTGGGTATGACACAAAAGCCAAAAAGCACTGATTGCATTTTGGGGCTCGAGAGATAGTGGGTAGGGTGTTTGCTTCGCAATCAGCCTGGTGTTAATTTCCAGCATCCCATATGGTCCCTGGAGCACCAGGAGTTACCCCTGAACATCGCCAGAAAAAAAAAAAATCGGCATTTTGAGAATTTAACCCTATTTTCATCTTAACTTCCGCTCTGGTTATATTCCCTTAAACTATGAAGGAAAAACACTCCAAAAGCCCCAGTGACAGTCTCCAAGGCCCTGGATTCAACCTTCCCTCAGGCCCCACAACGATCCCCTCAACAAGAAAAACACATTCCAAATATGATAATCCACAAATTCATCAACAAAACAGTTTCATTTCGCTAATAAATATATTTACCTGTGCAGGTGTATCTGTTTCATTGATTGGCTGCCCGTCAAATCGGAATCTGATCTGCCTCATTGACAAACCCTGTATAAGTTTCAAATAAGCATGCAAAGAAAATAAAAAGACAGAAAGAACCATGTTTAGATAAAACTATGTATATTCAGTTCAAAATACATTGAGTTGTTTTAATTTGGGGGGGCACTGGGGTGATCACACCAAGGTGCTGGGTGACTCCATGTGGTGCCAGGAACCCAACTAAGGTCATTCACATGCGAGCCAACCCCTTAGCCCCATACTACTTATTTGGTCCCCTGTAAAAACATTTCCAATAAATTTCTGGGCTACAACTGGTGATGCTCAGAGCTTACTCCTGACTCGGCTCAGAGGACCTTATGGGGTGCCAGGGACCAAACCTAGGTCAAGCTCTGGGCAAGCCAAGAGCCACATTATGCAAAGCTGGGAGCAGCTCCCGTGCACCACCAGAGGCAACTCAGCCCAGCTCGCCTCCCAATTCTAGAACCCTAACCTGGGAAGTGTGATCACAAACTGAAAAATGTTAATTCAGTTTCAATAAATTTCTATATGCATTTTAGGAGACAAATTAACCCAAACAGGTACTTTCTGCAAGGTGTTTCTAACATATTACTTTTCAAACACTACCTAACTTAACACAGGACTGGGTAGTAAAGGTAAAAGGTAAAGGCCCTCCCGTTGATCGTCAATTTGCTCGAGCGGGCCCAGTAACGTCTCCATTGGAGACTTTGTTGTTACTGTGTCTGGCATATCGAATACTCTCGGTAGCTTGCCGGGCTCTCCGAGAGGGGCGGAGGAATCGAACTCGGGTCGGCCATGTTGGCCGCGTGTAAGGCGAACGCCCTACCCACTGTGCTATCGGTATGTGAAAGTAAAGGCCCTCCCGTTGATCATCGACTTGCTCGAGCGGGCCCAGTAACGTCTCCATTGGAGACTTTGTTGTTACTGTGTTTGGGGACTGGGTAGTATTAACCTGCAAATTGCTTTCTAAGAGCCATTTTATATTCCTCATACTCTGTGCAATGATCAAAATGACTAACTTATAATTGCTTTAAACATTATCTGCCACAAATAAGAATTTTTTTTTTTCTTTTTTTGGGATCATACCCGGCAATGCACAGGGGTTACTCCTGGCTCTGCACTCAGGAATTACTCCAGGCGGTGCTCAGGGGACCATATGGGATGCTGGGAATAGAACCTGGTTCTGAGACTAAAAATACTGATGCAGTGTTCAATGTACACTTTCTTAAAAACAAACAAACAAACAAAAACACCCAGAGTGCTCAGGGCTTATCCCTGGCTCTGCACTTGGGGAATCACTCCTTGTAGGCTTGGGAGACGATATAGGGTGCTGGGATCAAACTGGTGTCTGCCCTCTACAAGGCATTAATGCCTTAGCCACTGTACTGTGGCCCCTAAACACTTGTATTATTTCCCTCATGTAATGGATGTACAGAATCTACCTTTAAACCTCCAGAAGCTAGACAGATAGTACAAAGGTAAGGTGCTTGCCTGGCAGGGGACAAACCTGGGTTTGATCCCCAGCACTGGTTATGGTCCAGACCCAGCAGGAGCGATTCCTGAGCAGAGGCAGGAGTAAGCCCTGAACACAGTTGGGTGTGGCCAAAAACTGAAGTAAAAACAAAACAAATTTACCTAGTAGGGTGGGACATATAATAGATATTGAGAGTTGCTCACTACTAGATTAAGTTAAGGACTGAGAGCTGAGCACAATGCTAGGAGAAACTGAGTACTGTTGGATGAGGCACCCGGCCCCAAAGGAAATTAATTAAAAAATGAAACTCCTGGGTAAATATATATGGGCTGGGTAGATAACTCAAAGGGTTGAGAGTATGCTTTGCATTTGGGCATCCTGGGTTAGATCCTCAGCACTCAAAACACTGCCCAGAGCAATGTCATTCCCCTCAGCTATTATATCAAACTCCTAGTGTTTACATGGCATATGAGGATCACAGCGCTCTCCTTTAAAACTTTAGTCTTGGGGGCTGGAGAGATAGCACAGTGGGTAGGGCGTTTGCCTTGCATGAGGCTGACCCGGGTTCAATTCCCAGCACCCCATATGGTCCCCTGAGCACCGCCAGGAGTAACTCCTGAGTGCAGAGCCAGGAGTAACCCCTGTGCATGGCCAGGTGTGACCCAAAAAGAAAAAAAAAAACTTTAGTCTCGGGGCTGGAGCAATAGCACAGCGGGTAGGGTGTTTGCCTTGCACGCGGCCGACCTGGGTTCAATTCCCAGCATCCCATATGGTCCCCTGAGCACCGCCAGGGGTAATTCCTGAGTGAAGAGCCAGGAGTAACCCCTGTGCATTGCCAGGTGTAACCCAAAAAGCAAAAAAACAAACGAACAAAAAAAAAAACCCCAACTTTAGTCTTGGACTCAAAATAGTGCTCAACAGTTCAATCGTATTTTGTGATGTCTAGTTTGATTACTGACATTATACGGTCCCTGAGAACCACTTGTGTGTGACCCCAGTAACAAAAATAGCACCAGTCGTGAGGCCAAAGAAATAAGTCAACACGCTGAACATAGGCTTTTCTTGTGCCCCAATTCTGAACGGTCTCTATGCACTGCTGGGAGCGACCCCAGGCACTGGACCAGAAATGCCCTGGGTAATTCCAACCAACTACCTGTCAATTCCTCTAGGATTCAAGTTTGCAGACACAATGCAAAGATCCTAATTACTTTATTTATAAACATAAAGTAAAGTAAAGGCCCTCCCGTTGCTCATCGATTTGCTCGAGCGGGCCCAGTAACGTCTCCTTTGGAGACTTTGTTACTGTGTCTGGCATATCGAATACTCTCGGTAGCTTGCTGGGCTCTCCGAGAGGGGCGGAGGAATCGAACTCGGGTCGGCCATGTTGGCTGCATGTAAGGCAGCCGCCCTACCCGCTGTGCTATCGCTCCAGCCCCATTTCTACATTTATAAACATACTACTAAAAAATTCTTTGGGCCACAATACCACACAGAGGGCACTTGCCTTGCATGCAGCCAGCCCAGGTTCGATCCCTGGCATCCCAACACCGTCAGGAGTGATTCCTGAGTGCAGAGCTACAAGTTACCCCCCAGTTACCCCTGAGCATCGCCAGGTGTGGCACACACAGACACACGCGCACTCACACACACTTATAATACGCTAACACCTGGACTCTAACACATAAAGTGGATTCTGAGGGCCAGGTAATAGTACAGCAGGTAGGACTTTTCTTTGCACAGCCCCCACCTCCCACCCCCCACCCCCAAACAGAACCAAAGCAATCAACTTGTGTGCTCCAAAACCACCTGACACCTGCAAGAAATAGGATCAATTTGGGGTCAGAGAGAGAAAATGGGGGTTAAGGCACTTACTAGCCTTGCATGCAGCCGACCCTGGCTGGATTCCCTAGCATCGCATATGGTGTCCTAAGCATCACCAGGAATGACCACAGCATAGAAATAGCCTGAATGCTAGGTGTGGTGCAACACCCTTCACAAACAAACATACATGTAAAAAAACCTGCGCCGCGGGCTGAAGAGATATTATAGCAGGTAGGGAGCCTGCCTTGCATGCAGCCACCCCTAGTACCTCATATGGTTTCTGAGCCAGGAGTGAATCCTGAGCACAGAGATAGCAGTCAGGCCTGAGCACTGCCAGTCTGACCTCAAAACAATCAACCTGGGCTGGAGAAACAGCTTGCCAGCCTTCGCAAATGCTTCACATACAGGAACCCGGGGTTTGATCCCTAGTACCACAAGAATTCCCCATGCACCACCACCAGAGGTTTGGCCCCAAACAAAAAGTTACAAACTGGTAAAAACTGAGGCTGGAGTGATAGTACAGTGGGTAGGGCGCATTTGCTTGCACGTGGCGATCTAGGTTCAATTCCCTGTATCACATATGGTCCCCCAAGCATCACTAGATGTGATTCCTGAATGCGGAGCCAGGAGTAACCCCTGAGCATCAACAGGTGTGACCCACAATATAAAAAGGGAAAAAATAAAAACTGGTTAAAGCTACGGTCATATTTCAAGAGATAATTACACGTGGATCACGACTACTCTATCAGAAGCATAGGGTAGAGAATAGAATCACTGTCACTGTCCTCCCGTTGTTCATCGATTTTCTCAAGTGGGCCCAGTAACATCTCCACTGTGAGACTTTGTTGTTACTGTGTTTGGCATACCAAATATATCATGGGTAGCTTGCCAGGCTTTGCTGTGCAGGCGAGATACTCTCGGTAGCTTGCTGGGCTCTCCAAGAGGGGCGGAGGAATCAAACTCGGGTCAGCCATGTTGGCTGTGTACAAGGCAAACGCCCTACCCGCTGTGCTATTGCTCCAGCCCTGAGAACAGAATACGCTGATGAATTTTGTGAAGCCCCATGTATCAAGGATAACGCCACAGGTTGTTCTTTTATGACAGTTTTGAACTCACAAGTAGATTTAGAATAGTGGTAATTAGTGAAAAGGGACACCAGAGAAAGATTTCTAGATAGAGGCCTCTGAGATACCTATTAGGACATCCAACATCTACCAGAACTTCAAAAATATACTACCAAACTCACTATTTAATGAACCTTGATAGGAAATCTTTGGTCGATTATTCTCAACCATAGTAAATCACAGTGCCTAAATTAAAAAAGTTCACGAGAGCTGAGATAGGGCTGGCGAGACTTAAAAAGCACTGGCCTCAGCGGTGGGGTTCTGGCTGGATCTTAGGCACAGCACCATACAGTCACCCAAGCACCACCAGGGGTCACTCCTGAGCAGAGCCAGCAGTAGTGTGAGTACTACTGGGTGTGGCCCTAACCTCCCTGCCCCCCACAAAACTAATTTGTAATCAGATGAATTCTTTTGTCTCTTGCATTGGGTAGAAGTGCATGCTTTAGTAAACTATGGAGCAGGGTTTCATCCACAAGCACAATCAACTGGTACTGTGCTTTCAACCACCCTCATTGGTAATGGGTGACCAAAAACCAAAACTGAAAGAGACATTTCAGGGCTGAAGCAATAGCAGAGGGTAGGGCGTTTGCCTTGCATGCAGTTGACCTGGGTTTGAGTTCAAGCATCCCATACGGTCCCCTGAGCACTGCAAAATTCCTGAGTGCAGAGCCAGGAGTAACCCCTGTGCATCGCCAGGTATGACCCAAAAAGCAAAAACCAAAACAAAACAAAAAACCAAAACAAACAAAAAACAAAGAGACATTCCAGTCTCCTGATAGCCTAGTACTTAAACCTAGAGACGGGGAATTGGGAGCTGGAGAGAGTGCAAGAAAAGAGCTTGGCAACTGACCCATGTTCAATGCCCAACACTGTCAGTAGTGATCCCTAAGAACTAGGGCTAAGACCCAGCACACCTGAGCATGCCCCCCACCCCCGCCGCCAAAAAAGACAGGGAATTGGCCTAATTATGTAACACTTCCAATTCCCTTTCCCTGGATTCCACACCAATGTGTGACCCCAAGATGTTTGAACAACTGTAAACATCTGCACAAGAAAAATCCGAGAAAAGGTTCAGGTTGGGGGCCAATCAGTGATGCTCCCACATGCACTCCAGCCCTTTGAGCAACCCCCCCAGTCCCAAGGAAAATCTTACACTAGGAAGGACCACTAAATTTAACAAAGCAGTAGGTACCCCTCTCGGAGAGCCCGGCAAGCTACCTGTGATGTATTCGATATGCCAAACACAGTAACAACAAAGTCTCCAACGGAGACGTTACTGAGCCCGCTAGAGCAAATCGATGAACGGGAGGACAGTGATACAGTGATTAGGGGCTAGAGCAACAGTACAGCAGGGAGGGCATTTGCCTTGCACCTGACATGGATTCCATCCCCAGCATACCATATGGTCCCCAAGCACCTTCAGGAGTAATTTCTGAGTGCAGAGCCAGGAGTAACCCCTGAGCATCTCTGGGTGTGACCCAAAAATTAAAAAAAAAAAAAGCAAAATCACTGAAGTGTTCTGGATCTAATAAGTCAATCTTAGAAACCAAACTTTCTAAGGGCCATCAGAAGTACAGAAGTTGTGCAGTCTGCTTTCCTGACACTGTGCAGTGCCCCAGTACATGGTGGGTATGTATGTGGCAACCATCACACCAAACTTTGAGGTCCTCACCAAGAAAAATACAGTATCTATTTCTATAGAACCTGGTCCAATAGTCCCAAGCACCACCAGGATCAATTCCTGAATACAGATCCAGGAGTAACCCCTGATCATCAGTGGATACCCCTCCACTCCCCAAAAATTCGTATCAACTAAAGTTAAAGATATGCAAAGATTCTAGTTGAAAAGCCTTAAATCTAAGTCATGTCTTTCTGTTTTGTCTAAGGTTTGACTGCCTAACTCTACAAAAAACCTTTACAAATCCCCAGTAACCTGAAGGGGCGCTATTGTTCAAATACGGGAGATGCTAGTGCAAGAATTCTTCAGCACCTCTACTAAAGTTCATTTTCACTTCTTAGTAAATTGATTTCACTAAAATTCTTCAAACTGTGGAATGAGATTATATCTTTGTCAGGAAGTCTAAATTATATTGCAAATTTAATATAAACCAGACTGAGTCCAGAGCAATACAGCGACAGGGCGCTTGTCTTATCAACCAAGTCAGGTTCCATCCCGGGCATCCCATATGGTCCTCCTAAGCACTGCCAGGAGTGATTCAAGTGAAGAGCCAGGAATAACCCCTGAGCACCATCGGGTGTGGACCAAAACCACAAACTCCTCCCCCCCAAAATTTTTAATACTTTTAAACAAAAGTTTTTATTTTTGGTTTATTTCAAATGCTTTTATGTTCCCTGGTATAAGCCGAGAATCAATTCAAACCCTATACTGTATAGGTCTAGCTTTTATCTATTCTGAGTCTATTTTGGACAACTTTTAATGTAGATAAATTATCTTACACTTTTTTTTCTTTTTGGAAGTATCAGGAGGAACTGCACCTAGAGCCTCACAGATAGAAAGCCATACGCTGGCCCTATTTTTATTATAAAATCATGTACACAACTCATCAATTATACATCCAGACAGATCAAGAAAAGCATTTCTGTACCAGAAATAGTATAGATTTTAATGTGCACTTCTTGTATTTGACCTACATTCTTCTCACCCCCAAAACCTACAAAAAAAAAAATCTAAAGTATATCAAGTTATTGCTGAACGGATCTAAATGCCTTCTCAATTCCTTACAAAATATCTAGTTAAAGTTGCATTTGTATAGATTTAGAAGCAGAAGCACTATTGTTATTTTAAGGTTTACATTTACCTCCCAGAATCTGCTTTTTCCTATTTTCTTTTCTTGAAGTCTACTACATTACCCAGTGAAATTTTTTTTTGAGTAAAATGACATCCATTTGAGTACAAACCAAGTGTGGAAAAAGTTTGACACATTTATGGCACAGGATTAGAATCATAGAACATTATCCAAACCCTTCATATACAAAACATAAAATAAAAGCTATGCCAAAAAAAAAATTAAACAAAAGCTCTATCAATTACCACAAATACACATCACTCTACTAGAGATAGTCAATTCTAATACTAGGCTTCTCTAGTTCTATTAACGGAAATGTTTGTCTTCCTTAAATTTTTATTTCGTGGAAAAGCACGTGTGCGTTCCTCACCTGTCGTTCACAATAGGCTTTCATTAGTTTACTAAGTGGTGTATGCCTCTTAATCTTAAACTGCACCACAGAACCATCCTGACCCGCCACCTTCAAATTAATATGATCGTTGTTCTCGGTCTTGACGCCTTCCTGTTGAAAGAAAAATAAAAGTGCAATTTTGAAAATGTGGGAGTGGGAGGTGAAGGAAAATAATAATAAAACATGGTAATAATGATGAAACGAGTTTTAAAGCGGCAGTCCAAGTTTGTTCCCGAATTCAACAGGTTCCTCGTTCAGCTGTTTCCAGCGGCTGAGCCCACGTGAGAGGAGACATCCCAGAGCCCCAGCACCCCAGAGCTGTCAGCGACGGGGCATGGGTGGGCACCCCCGTCAGCAGCGTCGGCGTGCCTCCTTCACCCCACACCTCCTCAAACGGCCCCTCGCCGCCCGCCCCAAGCATTGCCCTCCTCCCGGGAGGGCTCCAACGAGCGTGTTCCCTCCCGCCGGCGCGCTGGGTGCGCGGACACCCAGGGGCGGGGAAGAGAGCGGGGGGAACTCGCCATTCAAAACTCATCCGTCTCGGATTCAAAAGTTCCCCAGCACCGAGGACGCTCCCGACTCTCCGGCGACGCGCGGGAGCAGGAGCGCCCGGTGCCCGCTGCAGCGGCGGCCGTTGACTCGGAATCCCGAGCCCCGAGCGAGCCCCCGGGAGCCCCGGGAGCCGCAGCCTCATTTTGTTTATTTTCAGCTCGGGCCTCCCCTCCCCTCCCCTTTGTTGTCATGGGGCACTGGCACCATTTCCACCCACCCCCCCTCCCCAAGTCTCCCTCCGGGCCGACGCCGACCCCGACCCGAAGTTCCCCAGAACCGAGGGGGCGGAAGAAAGCGCGTCCCGGGGCCCCGAAAACCCTCTCTTGGCCCGGGCGGGGAAGGCGGGCGGGGGGCGCGCCCCCCACGCCCCTCCGCGCCAGCGACCCGAGGGCCCCGGGCCCCTCCGCCAGCCCGCCCGAGAAAGTTGTGCCCGACAAAGTGTCCGGCCGCGCATCTGCCCCAGCCCGCGAAGCCGCATGGCCCGCGCGGGGCCGGGGTGCCGCCGCCGCCGCCCCTCCCCCCCGCCCGGGACCCCGGGGGTGCCCCCCGGAAAGCCCCGCTCCCGCGCCCCCGCCGCGGGTCCCCGCCCGCCGCCCCGCGATGGACCGGCCGGAGCCCGCTCGCGGCCGAGCGGCTCGATCCGGGGGTCCCCGAGCGGGGGAAACCCCGGGCGGGAAGGCGGGGGGCCGGCGGGGGGAGGGGACTTCCCGCCACGGCGGAGGCGGCAACCCCCGGCGCAGGGTCCGCGGCCGGCGGCGACCCCGCGCGCCCTAACGCCCCTCGGCACGCGCGCCCAGCCGGGCCCGACCCGCTCCGCTCCGCTCGCGCCCCGCGGGCCCGAGGCGCGGCGCCCGCGACCCGCCCGACCCACTCGCGACGGCCGGGGGCGGGGGAGGGCGGCGGGGCCGCGGCGGGCGCGGGAGCGGGGAAAATGGCGCGGAGCGTCCGGGCCCGAGACGCGGCCGGCCCCGCGGGGGGCCCAGGAAGGCGCGGGGAGTCCGCGGGCGGGCTCGGGCCGACCCCAGCCCGCGCCGGGACCCGGGCCGCGCGGCGAGGCGGCCGCCGCGGCGCTCACCTTGGGCTTTTCGTCGGCCATGGCGAACGCCGGAAATCTCCTCAGCGACCGCTTCACAAAAGAGGTACCAGGTCCGCACCGAACGCGCACACAAGCAGCACCAGGAGCGGCAGAAGAAGGAGGCGGCCGCGCTGGAGAGGCGGAGGGCGCGCGCACGTCGTGCGCTCCTTCCCCCCGCCCTGCGTGCGCGAGCACGAGCGACCGGCGCTTCCCATTGGCCGCCGCCTCGCGGGAGCGCGCAACGCTTACATAACCACCCCCCGCCCCCGCCCCGCGCCGCCGCGGCCGGGGCCTGGCGCCCGCCCGAGCGGCGGGAAGACGCGCGGACACGCGCACCCGGCCCGCCGCGGGGGCGCGCCTGGCTCTGGGCGGGGCTGTATTGTCCTCCTTCGGTGGTGGAGCTTAATCAAAATGGCTTCCAGCTGGTCCTCGGTGGGGACGAGGAGGCCCGAGGCCTAGACGTGAGGCACGGGCCCCGCGAGGCCTCCTGTCCGGCCGCACGGGGGGATGCCGAGATCAAAGGCCCAGCGTGAGCTTCTGCCTCGAAAAGGCCCCGCGTCCAGTGGCCCCACTGTGTGGCTTCCCGCTCTGAGGCACCTCAAGCTCCCCTCGGCCTTTGAATTGCAAAGCCCCCGCCTCGACCCGCTTCCCACGGGGCTCTCGCCGTGGGGACGCCTTCCGGCACTCGCGACCCCCAGCCCCAGCCCCGGAGGCGCGACCCGGCACGGGGCCACACACCCGGGGACAGCCGGGAGGCCCCGCCAGCCAGCAGGCAGTGCCTTGGCCATGCACGCGGCCGACCTAAGTTCGATCCCCGAGCACCCCCGGGACCGATGATCCCCGAGCACGGCGCCCAAGAGCCAGAGCAGATCTAAACGGGGGTCGGTCCCTGAATCCCAGAGAGGATCCCGTCCCGGCTGCTCCGGCTGTGGGATGACTTTCCATCTTTTCTCTCTTCTCCTGACAGAAAAATTCTTAAGTTCCCCTCTATTCCACTCTCCATTCCCGGCCAAACATCTTGGGGAAAACGCCCATGCCAGATGCCTGTGCTCGCCCACCTCCCCGCTCGACCCGCCGCAATCTGTCGTATTCCCGGGGAATCCCGCAAAACTGGGCCCCCGTGGGGGGGGGGGGGACGCGGGCCGCGGCAGAGTCCTGTGCTTCCAGCTCCTGGGACGCCTCTGGCCCGTGATCCTGGCCTGTCCTTGAACCCTTTGCCATATGTATTTTTTCCCCTTTTTGTGTTTTATTTTGCGTTTTGTTCCCCATTCTTTTTTTTAATTTGTATTTTTTGGGGGTTTGGAGCCACAACCGGCCATGCTTAGCGCTGACCTCTGACTATGCACTTAGAAATTACTACTGGTGATTCTCTGGAGGACAGAGGGATGCTGAAGATCAAACCTATGGCTGCATGGAAGAGAAGCACACTATCAGCTGCACTATCGCTCCAGCTCTTGTTCCTCAGCCTTATCACCACCAAGTTGCTATTTCTCTGAGCTCCCAACTCCTAAATCCTACTGACTTCAGTTTTCTTTTGGAGAGGGGCCTTGTCTTCAAGAATGACCCCTGGTAGTGCCCAAGGAGTCATATGAGGTGTTAAGGATTTGAACCATAATTGAGGCAGACAGAGCCATTTTCAAGGCAAAAGCTTTACCACACCCTACAGTACTCAGGGCCTAATCCTAGCTCTCTGCTCAAGAATGACCCCCAGTGATGGTCAGGGAAACTTATGAAGTGCCGGGAATCAAGCCCAGGTTGGCGGCATGCAAAGCAAGCTTCCCCATCACACTATTACTCCAGCTTCACTACTCACTACTTTTTTTTTTTTTGGCTTTTTGAATCTGGGGATTGTAGCCAGATCTCGTGTATTCAAGGTAAGAGAGCTCTACCGCTGAGACACAACCCTGGCCCCCTACTACTGACTTATAACTTACTGTGTGTATGTGAAAAGTAATAAAGGGAGGGAAGGTGAGAAGTAGATAAACACAGTAGAACACAGGCTTCTCAAAAGTGGGGATGGGGCTGGAGCGATAGCACAGCGGGTAGGGCGTTTGCCTTGCACGCAGCCAACATAGCCGACACAGGTTTGATTCCCAGCACCCCATATGGTCCCCTGAGCACTGCCAGGAGCAATTCCTGAGTTCATGAGCCAGGAGTAACCCCTGAGCATAGCTGGGTGTGACCCAAAAAGCAAAAAAAAAAAAAAAAAAAAAGTGGGGAAAGCCAGTCCTTATCTCAAACATGGATGAGCATGCCATTTCCCAGAATGAGGAAACCTGTCTTTTTTTTTCCTTTTGGGGTCACACCCGGCGATGCACAGGGATTACTCCTGGCTCTGCACTCAGGAATTACCATATGGGGTGCTGGGAATCGAACCGCGGTTGGCCATGTGCAAGGCAAACGTCCTACCCATTGTGCTATCGCTCCAGCCCCGGAAACATCTCAAACTCTGAAAGTTCACACATCCCTGGGGTTGGAGAGATAGCACAGCAGGTAGGGCATCTGCCTTGTATATGGCCAACCCATCGATCCCCAGAATCCCTCCTTGCTCCCCAGCACCACCAGAAGTAATTGCTGAGTGCAGAGCCATGAGTTACCCCTGAGAATGACCAGGATGACCCCGAAAACAAAAAAACAGAGAAGATGAAGGCATATTCTCCACTACTGACCTCTGAACATGTCCCCTTGGATGGCCCCAAGACACCTGCAATTCAGGAAATCTCCAATGAAATTCCTTGGTTTACCTCATTCCACTTGCTTCTCTTGGAGTTCCTGGTTCTCTGAAGGTTGACAAGGAGGGCTACTGGTCAGGAGTGGCTGGGAAGCCTCATATTTAAATGAGTTCTCTTCAGAGTAAAGAAACAGCCTTCAAACTGGTTTGATGTATTTTTTTTTTTCATTCCCCTGTGGTTCAAATCCTGTAAATTCATCTTTTTTTCACTTTCTGCCTTTGATAGGAATCAAATCCAGGGCCTCACACCTCACACTGGGTGTAGCTCAAAAAAACAAATAGGGGGCCCGGAGCGATAGTACAACGGGTCGGTGTTTGCCTTACACTCGGCCAACCCAAATTCAATCCCCGACATCTCATATGGTCCCCCAAGCACCACCAGGAGTAATTCCTGAGTATAGAGCCAGGAGTAACCCCTGAGCATTGCTGGGTGTGATCCAAAGAGCAAAAAAAATAACAAAAAACAATATATATATATATATATATATATATACATATATATATGATCATTAGTAGTAGGTAGTAGTAGTATATATTATTCCCACAGCCTAATTGCCAAAAAGATACATTTGGTGTGTGTGGGGGGGGAGCACACCTGGTGGCATATACTCCTGACTCTGTACTCATGGATCACTCCTGATGGTGCTTAATCCCAGGTTGGCCACATGCAAGGCAAGTGTCTTGCCTACGCTATTATCTTTCCAGCTCCCACTGGTAAATTTTTTTGTTGGTTTGGTTTAGTGACCACACAGCTATGCTCAGGGATTACTCCTGGCTCTGCACTCAGGAATTACTCCCACAGTGCTAGGGGAATCCCATTGGATGCCAGGGATTGAACCCAGGTCAGCTGTGTGCAAGGCAAGCATCCTACGCCACTATACTATAGTTCTGACCCCACTTAGAGATTTTAAATGCACTTTGGGCCTCCCCAGTAACACCAAGGGACCCGGGGATCCCTCCCAGCTGTGCTGAGCACAGACATGCAGGCCTGATGAATCATGCTCCAAGTCCATTGGTCCTTTCAGAGGCCACCTGGGCCATACCTGAGGTGCTGGGTGGGACCCCTAGGGTGGCAGGGATTTTGAACTCAGGACCTGCACTCCACCCCTGTGAGCTATCACATTTTCTGGGAGTCTCCTTTTCTGTTGGATTTTGAGCTACACGCCACACTAAATGGTCCCAGGCCTCCTGCACGCATGCGCCACACAAGCTCTTGGAGCTCTCTCTTCCGCTGCAGAATCCTCCTTTTACAATTTCCCTGTTGATTCTTTGTTCCTTTCTTTTCCTTTTTCTTTTTTTTTTCCCCCTGGGGGTGTTGGGTTCGGGGAGGACATACCCAGCACTGCTGGAGGGAAGGGATTACTCCTGGCTCAGTGCTGTGGGGAGGCGGGTGTGTGGATTGGGGGAGAGGATGATGGGGTAGGGGACCGTGCCAGGGGTTAAATCTGGGACTCCTGCATGCAAGGAATGCACTCGAGATGCTGAGTTATCTCCCCAGCCCCTCCCTAGCGATTTAGCACACTAAAATCCGAGAGGCACAAACATTCCAAAATAACAATAAGTTTCTGTCTCTCCTTGGTTCCAGCGGCAAGCCTTCATCCTTCCAGGAGAAAGTCCAAAATTCTTATAAGCCAAACAAGTATCTTTGAGAATGAATCTGGCCAACTGTTCTAGTTCATATCTCATCATTGCTTCCCGGAAGCATCTACTTGTCTACTTCTTGTCTACTTCTTTTTGTTGATTTTTTTTTGGCTCTTTTGGGGTCACACCTGGTGATGCACAGGGGTTACTCCTGGCTCATGCACTTAGGAATTATTCCTGTCAGTGCTCAGGGGACCATATGGGATGCTGAGAATCGAATCCAGGTCAGTTGCGTGCAAGGCAAATGCCCTACCCGCTGTGCTATCGCTCCAGCCCCACAAGTACTTGGACTTCTGGGATATGCCTGCTCTCTTTTCTTCTTCTTTATCTTTTTTCTTTTTCTTTTTTTGAGGGGGAACATCACTTGGTGATGCTCAGTGGTTACTCCTGACTCTGCACTCAGGGATCACTTTCGGTGTGCTCATGGGGACCATGTGGGTTGTGGGGGATGTAACCAGGCAAGTGCCTTAGCATTGTACTGTTGTTCCTGGCCCTCTGCCCGCTCTCTTGACGTCATATTTCTGTCCAGTGTAGGAACTCAAAGATACGCTGGAGGAGAGAGGAGAGGACGCTCAGGGTGCTGGAAGGTCTGCTTCATATGCGGGACACCAGGCAAGGGTCGGTCCCCCACAACGCAGAGATTCAGTAGGCCAGATGATCATACCTGGGGTGACCCCAAGAAGCTAGTCAGGAGAAGCCCTGAGGCAGGCTTAATGGGTAGTAGAGAAAATTGGAGATAACGGTGGTGGGAAGGTGGAATGGTGGTGGGATTGGTGTTGGTGTGTTGAATGTCTGTAACAAACGGTCACAAAT